AGTATATAATTTAGGTCTATCTACATGGGGCATCTATCTTCACCTCAGGATTTTAATTTTTAAATATGATTTTGCTAGGGTTGAGCTCTTCAACTTAATATATCTATTCTATATTGACGGGAACTTTTTCTCTTTTCTGGAAATAATTATCTTTTAGAATTTATATTACGACAACCAAATCTTCAAAAGAGGTTTTCTGATAACCTCTTATCATGGAATGTTTGACAAGTCCATCTGCTAATTGTACCCCGTTTTCTTTGTCTGTCAGTTTGTAGTTCTGTCCGTCTGTCACAAAAAGCTTTAACCAAATTTTCTCGCTTTACAGTACACTATGATTTTTGATCTCGTGACATTGATCTTGAAGTTTGATCTACTTTTTAAAAATGTTAATTTTTCTTATAACTTTTGATTAAGAAAAGATAGGTCTTTCATATTTGAACTGTGCATTACCTGTGAATAGATATTTCTTAGCATGCTATGATTTCTGACCCCTTGACCTTGATCTTAACGATTGACTTAATTAAAAAAAAATAAATTTGGTGATTAGTTCTAAATGACATATGATAAGGCGTTCATAATTGACACAAATTTGCCAAAAATAATGAAATCTCAACCACAAAGACACCGAAAGTAGAGTTTATTTCTTAAAGTTTAACTGATATGCCAGAGCATTTCCTCTCCACGAACATTTTTACACCGAAATAAGTGTTAGGGCTTCATACTTCATATATGTAATCCTTATGACAAGACTTTCCATTGGTTACCAACAACTTTGACCCCTTGACCTTGGAGTTTGACCTACTTTTAAAAAACTTTAACCTTGGCCTTAACTTTTGAACGGTTTGGGCAAGGGCTTTCATGCTTCACCTATGTAATACTTGTGGCAAGACCTTTCATTAAAAACTAACAACTTTGACCCTTTAACCTTGGAGTTTGACCTACTTTTCAAAAACTTATCCTTGACCATAACTTTTGACAAGGTGGTGCTAGTGCTTTCAGATTTCACAATCGTATTTCTTGTGGGATGGTCCTACTTTGGGTACCAATATATTTAATTTGCATTTAAGAAAAGTTCAATCTTCGCTATTTTACCATACGGGATCATCAGTGTTTCACTTCCTTATAACTTTTGATTGAGAAGAGAAAGGGCTTTCATATTTGACATGTACATTACCTGTGACAAGATTTGACACAATATGTCATAAAAAATGACATCCCACCCACAAAGACACCGAAAGCGGGGGACCACAATTCTTTGAATTCGCTTGTTTCTTCAAGTTTTTCAAATGAAGTTGCAAACATTTATGAGCCTGTACAAAAGAGATATCAGTTTGACTTAGGTCACCGACATCATCGACCTATGTGTTCTGAGATTTATTCAGAATCTCTCTCTCTCTCTCTCTCTTTCTGCCACCCACACCCATATATCAGAATTTTATCAACGCTTTTCTTTCCAGAACATGGTTGCTTTGAATGTTTTGTGAGATTGATTTCAATATCATGTTCAACGAGCAAACAAAGGGATTAAAAGCAAACAGATGTTTTAACCCAAGGCGAATGAGTTCAGTTTTGGTTTATTTAATTCAGACAGACAACAATCTAAAAATAATGAACAATTTCTTAAAGCAGAATAAAACACTTGCATGTGGAGTTTTACATTTCAATGTTGCACGCAGATGACATATCTATACATAATTTGATCACGTCTTCAGAAACAATCCTTGAAACATCTTGCATTTCCGTATGATAAAATCAAATTATTCAAATTTCGAATTATATTTATTAGCTGTTCAGAATACCCTTATGACTTCACAATTCGTGATATGTCATCATTAACCTCTAACTGTATGGAACGACAAATCTATTGTATAATAAATCCCAAATCTTATGGATCGGTTTTCACCATCATCAAGGTATATAATCTCATTCCTATAAACTTGTATTAATTAGCAGTTATAAATAAGCCCTTATATAAGTTCATTTGGCTAATGAATATCACATGCAAAGACATAATAAATAAAAAATTATTTTTATTGTTTTCTTAGACAATTGTAATCCTTAGACCTCGATACAATATTCATGTATTCAGGTTTAATAAATGGCACCTTGACCTTATACTACCATGAACTTTTACTTGGAGAAGTGTTAAAAACACTTTATACGTTGCAAATTAGAAGATTGTATCAATTTTCACAATACTTGACATTAAACTTAAAAAAAAACTATTTAAAACTAGATGTGTTTATGAAACACTGATGCCCCCGTATGGCAACATAGCGAAGGTTAAGCTTTTCTCACATGCAGATCAAATGTGTTGGTACCTAAAGTAAGGCCTTTTCACAAGAAATACAAATGTGAAATATAAAACTCTAGCACCACCTGTTCAAAGGTCATGACCAAGGTCAACGTTTTTAAATGTGGTACACAAGTTATGTATTACAGAGAAACAGACAGACGGACACGACAAAACCTATATATCCCCGAAACTTCGTTTTCGGGGGCATAAAAACTGGACCTACTGTACATGTCTTTGATGAAATAAATAAATTCAGCCAATTTCGCATGTGATTTAACAATTATCATCATTAAGAAGTTCTTCTCTAAATATTTGTTCATACTTAGAAAATAATTTGACCGTGATTTTTGTGATATTTCTGGCAAACAAAAATTTCACATGAGAACATTTTTGTAAGTACATCTTAATAAAATAGTTCTCAAAATAATCACATAACGACATAGAACTGGCAATATAGCTCGTAAACATTACTCACGCACAATTTCTAATTCATTTCATCCTCCATTGACATATTATAAAGAAACTCAATGTGAGTTCAGGCTCTATATTTCCATTACATTCAAAGTCTTCACCAGCCATTAGTCTTCCAGATAATTATTTATTGCGTTTATGATTACTGCACAAAGAGGCGAGTTAAATTATCTTGTTTGTGTTTTAAAAAAAGATCTAAGCAACAAGAAAGATCCTTACGTAAACCAAAGAAAAAATCCTTATCAAATTATATCAATTAATCATCACTGAAGTTGGCAAGCGAGCCTTAAAGAAATGACATATTTTTATTGCTTTCGTAAAAAAGAAAAAAAATTAGACAAAATGATTTGGGTCAAACGTACCCTTCTGACTAGCTGTTTGTTTGTTCTTCATGTTTGACGTATGTATGAACATCTTCAAATGATGAATAAAAGTGAATTTAAAGAGAGAAACAGTTGTCATTGTAATTGAAGTCGGTTGCTCCCTCTCTTTGTAATATCATTTTAGAAAAATTAAATTTTTATACACACCAAATATAAATTTCAAAACATAAATCTTGCTGATTAGAGTGCTGAAACTGATACGTAAATGATTTATTAGAAGTTATTCCTTACTAATGGTAAGATTTGCCGGAAATGCCGACGTGATTACGAAAATATCTCTAGTTTCTGTGATTTACGAAACTATCGTTTGTGTGAAATCTGGGGATATGTTGTAGAGAAGATTAAGGACATGCAGTCGTTTTACTAAAAGCTTCTACACGCAAGGCGCTATTTTCTTTGCTTCGAGTCCATATCAATAACTGGGGTTTGTTTTATCTTCCGAGTTATCAAATTAAAATATAAAACTAGATTATTTTAGTAATACATTGCATTTGAATGAATAAGAGGATTAAATGGAATATTGAAGTCACGCACATGCATTAACCTGTCCAATACATAATCACGAAATCTTATTCATAAAACAGACAAAAATAAAAAAATTTAATGCAAGTGTTCTGTCATTTGAAATTCTAATCAACCCACGTTCCTCTTGCCTGTTATCCCCCTTTTCACCCCGCCCCCCGTTATCCACACATATCTCTAGTCCCGCCCCTTATCTTCTCCACATGATCCCCTCCTTTTATCCTTAACTTTTTCTAACCCCACCTCTCCCTTCTAGTTTTATTTCTAATTATAAATCTATGAGTCTTCTTTTTTTAAACTGAAATTAGAAAAATACTTTTGTAAAATTTGAAAATGGCGGACAGTGGTCATTTTCTTATCCATTGAAATAAATCGTAAACTGCTATAAATGATTCCCTGGAAACACTCTAGGTGGGTCAGATGCCTACGAGCAGTAAGCATCCCTTGGTGACTGGTCACGACCACCTTGGACCATACGTATTAATCAGGGATTCGGAGTTCTTCGTAGTCAAAGAAACAAGATAAGAAATTGTACACTGTATCAAATTAAACAAGTCAAACAAAATAGGATCTACCGATAAATCATATTTACGAACGTGGTCATTAAAACAACAAAGATTTTGGCCAAAAAAAAAACTTTAATTGGGGTTGTCGAAATCTTTGTAACTTCAAGTAATTTGTTAATAGTTTTCCTTGATTAAAAAATCTGAGCGAACATAGAGTATGAGCACGCTCTTGTGTATCAAAAAGTCGCGAGATTTTAAAATTACAGCAATTAATGTATTTAACAAAACGTTAATTTCCATTCTTTGTGCAAAAAAATACTGCTGAAAATTAAAGAAGAAAAAATATAGTCATTTAGTCACTACGAATTTGCAGCCAATTTCAAATTTATGAATGCTCGTAATTTTATTTGAGGAAAAAATGAAAACATCGCGTCAATAAAAATATCTTGTCATTCAAAAATCATATTCATCTATTGGTTCCAAAATTCTGAGAAGAGTACAAACAATTTCAATTTATAGGTCATAAGACCCGATATCATTCATATATCTGGCAAATCTCGTCTGAAACCAGCGATTTCCCAGGACGTCCAATGTACTTTCTCTGAATGAAATATTTTCTATTTTTGTTTTGAAGAAATTTATCAGAAGCCTCTATCTTGGCGATAAGGCAAACCGCTTTATATCGAAGTCGCCGTACCAGTCAAGTCGTATGTTTTACACATCGTCCCTACTAAACTGATGACAACTTATGCGTGTCAAAATTCTGTTTTTCATCACTAGATTGGATTCATATCTTGTACAACTGTATTTCTGTTTTCTTAGATACAGACGTGGATCTTAGAGTATTCTCACTGACGGCAACTCCCGGAACTCAGCGTACAAAAACAGATACCCTACCATGTCAGGAATCGGACTGATCCAAGTTACACTTTTAGTTTGGGTAAGTAAACTTCTGCTAAAATCGGACATCATGTACCTTTACTTGTCCTTATGTCAACGAAGCATAACTTTGATTTCGCAAAATGAGTTTAATAAACAAATGAAAGCATTTTTTCTGTACATTGAAAATTATAATACATGTAATAACAATCTGTAAATTTAAAGTATTGTGTAGCTATAGAACAGCTTCTTTGTTTTTAATGACTTGATGCCTTTGCATCGCCAGAAGCGCATTAAAAATTTTTAGAGACCTGATTTTGTAGGAGTTGATGGTGCAGCTTCATTTATTATTTTAGGAACGGGGAAGCATAAAACACAAAATCAAACATTCACATTTCCTATAAACTGCAGATGTAAATTATATTAAAAAATATATGTTGATGAGAAATGTGTTATCAAAGTATGTTTTTCTGAAATTCAAAAAAAAAAAACAAAAAAAAAAACAAAAAAAAAAAAACAAACAAACAAACAAAAAAAAACATGTGTAGTTTAGAGGAATGCATGTCCATTTCCTTCACCCCAAAGCTTTGGTTTCCTGCGAAATACTGTATGGAGGAACACATTTAATCAACTTTGAATTCTTTCTTTTTTGCGCTGTGTAATTCCGACGATTTTTTCTTCAATCGTCTCTGATTTAGTTTTCATATTTTGTTATAAACCATGATTAGATTACACTCTTACAATTTTAGGCTAGATTAAATTTGCTAGCACAGAAAAAATCAAATAAATATCCCGTAGGCAGTTATCGTCGCCACCTATTGTTTTAACATCAAAAATCAGCAAACTGATAGCATTTTTACAGAAAAAAAACAGCACTGCACGTTTTAAATTGATTTAGATGTTCTTTAAAGATTGACGCAACATTTTTTTAAATACATGTATTTTTATTTTAAATTATAATGCTAACGTGATTTTTCAGTTTAAATTACAAAAGTCGATAGGGCGCCAGTTATAAACCAGGTACATGTTTCTCCGGAAGTGGGTCATTTCTTCTAAAAATTGTATAATTGTTATTTTTCTAATTAAAAAAATATTTATTTATGTGAATGATCAATTTTAAAAAAATTTAAAGAAAAATGACGACTATTAAAATGAAATAAAATAAAACCAATGTTTCATGTACCCGTATTTTAAAATGTTAATGCTTCTGTTGTGTTCTTAAAGTCATTATGACTACTTATAGTAAAAGTAACACAGCGACCTCAGCAAGCTTGTGTGCACGATCTCCCTCATTCCCTTGAAATGGTGAAAATGCATGTGAACTATTTACATCATTCTACTATATCATTGTTGATAAATTCTTTTTGTTTTCTTTTTCGCTGACATTTATCCACACCTGCGTACCATACATAACCCTGTAAACCGAGAGAAGCACATAGTGTTGAACATCTTCGACTTAATTATTACACTCATTATCAAGTGGAGATAACGAGAACTGATGACTGCCCTCTGCTAACTGTTGTATTTTTTTTCTGATCTTGCTCTTTGAACTCGAGCATCTCTTGTATTGTCAGGCATCCCTCTCTTTCCATGAATCTTCATGTCTCTGTCTGTTGAAGGAAAAATCGAATCAGACTGGTACTTAGCTTGAAAAGTCTGCCTCGATTCAGTGCTGTACACGATAGGGTCTTTCAATAAATAGTCTTTCATGAAAATACATGTATGTGCAGAAGGATATATATTCAAGGATAGGATTTAAATATAACTTTTTAGGAGACAGATGCATTTTTTCTGCAGTAGAGCCCTGTCACTTGTTTACGATACGAGGGCAAATAAATGCCAGTTCTCCAGCGTGTCAAGCATACTTTCCTAGAACACCCACGATATCAACAACGCTTTAAGCACCATATTGAACTTTTGAATGCAGGGGTCAATCAAATACTAAATGTAAATCAACGAGATTCATTTTCTGACTTCTTCTTCTTCATTTTTTAAACTAGATAGTTAAGCATATAAATACCCCCGCCCTTCTCCCCCGAGTATGGGATCCATTTCTGTAGAGAAACCTTGTGAGAGAAGAGAGCGCAAACGTATACATCCTGTAACTATAAACCGTTCTGTTACAAAGGAAACATTTTGAATTTCCTTTTCGTGTGATTAGAATATATAATATTCCTGTAATCTTCGTACTTAAGTCGCAGTTAATACGAAACTAGATCCACATAGAAAAACAACTTGGTTACCATGTGCATCAACAGAGCCTTTTTATTGGCTTTTTACGGCATATCAAGCTCTTTTGATAACGAGTCTGTTTGTCTAGATGGCTCATCTGATCCCTAAATCTACCTCAGCTTCCTGAGTTTCTATTTCTGCCGAACAATTAATGGCTTTCAAGAGAAAAATCAACACAGAAACTACATGAACTATGGAAAAGAACTTGGACGGAAGTGGATTAACATATCGCCGTCTAAGCTTCTTACCTTAATAGCGGAGCAGAAGATGAGGAGAATCAAATAACAAGTCACACGCAATGCTGTGTAGCTTGTTTTAAATCACCAATCACTCTCTCTCTCGCTCTTCTCTCTCTTTCTCCTCTCTCTCTCTCATACAGAATAGGTGATTACAGTAAAAAGAAATCCGTTAAAAAATTCTTTTCAACCCTCACGGTTTTTACAGGTAATTGTTTTAATATTTTTTAAAATCAATTTTAAAAAGTGTAAAAAAAAAAAAAAAATTAAAATTCCATGTTCAAGGAAAATCAGTCCAAAACAACTAAGCGACTAGATGAACTGAATAGATGCGCATGAAATTTCTCAGAGATGAAAACTGTAATCAGATCTGCAATCGTTTACTTTTATAATTTCAAGGTACAAGTACTACTTAAGTTTTTTTTCTAACAACATTACTCTCATTTGAAAATAAGAAAGTATTGCAGTAATTGAATAACATCTAAATGTACATTGCAAAAGTTATTTTATAACTTTACCTAATAAATTTAGATAATACATGTACATCTAGCAATTGATTTATTATTTTTTGTTATCAATTGACATGTGAATTTTACGCATCTAGTATAATTATTCATTACTAGCAATTAGCTCAAAGCATTACTTTACAATTCCCTGCTATTGAAAAGGGATTCATTACATTTTACATCCAATTACTTTGAAAAAAAAAATATGTACTCATACAATGCTTTATCATTACCTATTACAATCCAGTTACCGGTATTTCTTGCTACCAATATCAATACATTTTCAAGCAGGATTTTTATGTAAAAAAAAAAATGTGAATAAAAGTATGAAAACAATTTCAGTCAAACCTCGTTATCTCGAACTCCATTGGGCCGAGAAAAAACTTGAAGATATCCGAGTAATCTAAATATCAAGGTTAAAATACTAAAGGAATAAATGGTTGGGACTTTCTAATCACTTCGACATAACTATTGTATTCGATATAATGAGATACCGAAGCTGTATGTATACGAAAGAAAAAACACGGTCAAACTTTTCGAATTCACAGACCACACAACCTCATGACCCTTGGACCTTGAGTTAGATTGACATTCGAGTCGGTTATTAGTTATTAGCCCTTACAATATTGAGCTTTTCAATAAGAAATTCAGGTTAACTTTTCATTCGAAGACTTGCCCGTTTATTTCTCCGCTACTCGGAGGGCAGAATTCAGTTAACGATATCATAAACAGCGGGTTTGTCATCCGTCTCTGTGTTCCCGTTAATAGAATCCAATACCTACATCTCAGACTTATAGCTCCGGAACAAGGAAAACTCGTCTACGTTTAGAGATAAGATTGGCAATTTCTGATAAAAATATGTGTAGATTAAAAGGGCAACTGTCTGCAAGCTAACTTTCGATTGTAAAACAAATGTTTTGTCACTCAGCACTTTTATCTTGGTTCTTTTGATTATCTCAGTCCCTTAGGTTATTAATAATAGCAACATCTACGAGTATTTTTTTTTTATGTCTCTCCTCCGTTTCCAGCTTAACATTTTAGATTCCTCTCTAAAACTGCTGATTGAACCAATTTGAACATTTTTGTGCAGAATTCATCTAAGGTTTAAGGAGGCAAAAATTTTGAAGTTCATAGCCCCTGTCCCCCTAAGGCCGAAGGAGTGGAACAAAAATTTTCAAAATTAAAGCATTTTTTTTTTTAAACACTCTTTTAACTCTTGGTTTTCAAACAATCAAACTGTTGGCATGATTGTGATAAGCATTGAGTCCTTAACCAAAATTGTGAATTTAATGGCCCATAATCAGGGGTTTTGTAGGCTTCACGGGGCTCTACATAACATTCATGCAAGTCATACCAACTTTCAAAGCATGTTTTGTGGTGATGGATGTAAACTTGTATATAGAATATGAATAAATTATCATTATTCAAAGCATAAGACCATTAGTATGGGGGCTGTGCGGGGCTTAAGGATGGGACACCCATGTGACCGTTAAGACCCTTAAGCCTCCTGTTCTATTGAATTTGACGTACATGTATACCCATGGACCAAAAAGCATATACATGTATTCAGAAAAAAGACAATGACTTGACATTTTTTCACTTAATGCAGCTGCAACCTTTAAACTGTTAAACTAGAATCGGGCAATAATACATGTAGCAATTATCTATTTGTTGCGATAAGATGACAACAAATATATAATTATTATAATATTGTATTGCAATACTGTTCTTTTGTGGCAGCGACATTCCAGCAGAATACATGGACTCAGATTTCTATAATAAAATTGTACAAGTTGTCAGAAAATGCTTGTCACAATCTCTACTTTGGCCTTGTATTTTCTATTCTTTGATATATATGCATAGTTGTAAGGAATTCTATATAATATATGTATAATGTACTATTTTACTTAATAATTGACTCTAAATCTATTTTGAGAGTATATTTTAAATGAGCATAACTAAACATCTTTAACACATTTTTTAAAAATATTTATAAATCTTTTTCAATACAATGCCTTTTACATGAGTGTTTACTTCGTAGCTAAAAATATTGTATTGTATTAATAATTTTTTTTGACCATTTTCTGAAGTATTTTTATTTTCATTCGGTGATACACATGTTTTCAAGAAAGAAATGTACAACTACAAAACATTGACAATTGCACATGATTGCTGCATACTTGTCAGATTTATCAAGCTGTATACATCTGTTTGTGGAATGCATTTCCGAGAGTGGTTGTTTTACAGAATTTTATTACAAAGTTAATTGTTACATATTGTTAGCACGATTTTTAGAGCACCGGTTTTTGTTTTAAACAGATAGATGCCTTGTTATTGCATTATTTTAAATAAACGAGTTCTCATTAAAAATAAGGAATTCTGAGTCAAGCTAAATCTTTGCTGGGTTCTGAAATAAGCCGATGTACCGAAAATTCACCTGTGCACAATGAAAATAACTTAATCAACTTGTTAGAACATTGTATCTGCTGGAACAAAAAAAGCAATAAAAATCATTCTTTTACCTCTGTTTCTAAGATCGAAGATAAGTGGAAGCATAAAGAATCAGTGCTGATGCTCTCTTTGATAGTTTTTTTTATTTACTTTGAATGCATTTTCCTGTAAAGATCCAAAGGTTTCCTTCTGCTTTTATTGTTTATAGAAATCTTATCACAGTTACTGTAGCGGAATTACATTTTTTGCACTTTGGCCTAAATGGAAAGCTTCTGTTTCCTTATTTACTGAGAGGTCTGGAATTTAAGATTCTCTTTACTAATATTTATATCCACTGAATCTTTTCTCCTTTATTTCTTATGAAAACCATTGCTGTGTGTAACCATTGTTTAACGTCCCTCTCGAGAATTATTTACTCATATATGGAGACGCCACCACTTGCCAGTGGAGAGCTCAAAATTTTATCCTATACACTCGGCACCTAGGGCCATTAAATAGTGAGAGGATCTTTTTCGTGTCAGCACCTACTGCGACGCGGGACCTCTGTTTACACGGTCTCATCCGAAGGACCAGTCTCCACGTCCCGGGGATTCGAAATTGGGACGTAAGGATTGACTCCTTACTTCACGACTCTAGAGCAGACGCTCTAGTCACTCCGCCACACGGGCTTCTTGAATTGGAAGGCACTTCTATAAAAGAAAGGAAACATGTTTTTGTCAAAGGCAGCATATATGATACTAATGTCAATGACACTAATGTTAATGGCAAAACTTTATTCTCATAAAACTAGTAACAGTTATTATGATAAGAGAGAGAGAGAATGTCAATGACACTAATGTTAATGGCAAAACTTTATTGACCCCCGTGGCCGACCCAAGTTTTACATAGGAATATATAGGAAATATCTTTAAAAATCCTTCTGGATCCACAGGGCCAGGAAAGCTCATAAAACTAGTAACAGTTATTATGAAAGAGAGAGAGAGAGAGAGAGAGAGAGAGAGATATTTTACTTTTTTATAGACCTTACGGAAGAATACAAAATTGTAAAGCATAAAACAGTGATTTTACTAATGAAGCATTATACAATTAAACTATACCTTCTAAAATGACACATATTTATTACAGATCATCTATCATTCTTGTGCTGATTCAGATGTATTTAGAGGAAAGTTATGCCGGTCCCGCCTTGGATATCATCCCACCACTGACAGTTTTAGACAACACTCGTATGCACTGTGTTTTAATTATGTGTTTTATCTAAAATTCCGTCCATTTTTGAATTCCACCGGTCCTACCCCGGTGATGGATATTATACACGACGGTAGAAGGATACGTTTTGAGTCCATGGACTTCCGGAATGAGTCGGTCAAGTCCGCGGTGTGTTCCTTGTTGTCACATGATGAGTGTCACCAATGGACTTCCTGTTGTGAGTCCGCAGAGCTGTGTTGTCAGAGGCAGCTTTCGGAATACAAGGGAACTAACTCAAGCTGTGGGCGGATCTGGGACGGATGGCTCTGTTGGCATGATGCAGCGCCGGGAACTCAGAGTTATGGGTCTTGTCCACTGTTTATGCCCTCTTTTACACCATCTCGTGAGTAAGGGATATTGAATTCAAAGAAAACAATTAAAATATTATTTTTTTTAATCTTGGCTATTCTTTTTGTTACGTACTTGTATTATATGTAAACTACATGTAATTATTTTCACCAGATTTAAAAGATTTCCATAACATTTAATACTACTTTGCTCATTCTGGTCACCTTTCACTTTTGATGTAATGATAAATACATGTACGGTGTAAGTAGGTTAGTTGGGAGAATACTATGTTTTTGTCCCTAAAAAACTATAACCGACTATATATCATTTGTCTCTGTAATTGCTTATTGAAGGCCAAAATAACGAGTTACTTTGACATAAAAAAAGAGTAAAGCAGGACTGCTAAAGGATGAGGGATATACCTTACAGTAGTTAATAAACAATTGGTTTACTTTGGCCTTGAAAAAAAAAACCCTTTAAAATGCTTTAATCTTAATGAGATTCATCAACGGAAACAAAAATAAAGAGAACTGAACACAACACCAGCAGCTTAAAGGGAGACGAATTATTTCATCTTAGTATAATTTGTTCAGAGATCATAGAAGACGCCGGTTGAATTATAAGAAGCCGTGATCAGATACATATTTTGTGTTCCTTATAGAATGTGTTCGTGTTTATTGGGTGAGTGTATATTTTTGAGATTGTTTACAATTACTAGCTTTAATTATTTACTCTGATTGCCCTATTCTAGGAGAAGCAGTGCGCACCTGCCAGGTCAACGGACAATGGATACAACGTACGGACTACAGCCCGTGTCTGAAACACGACGTAAGTACCGCGCTATTAATTTATTAATATAAATATTATCTCAGGAACCAAAGATTTCCTTGAAAGCACAAACATTAAACTTGCCTAAATTTCTGATAAATATATAATGTAAAGGAGTTTTCCTGCACTCGGAAGGAAATCAGCATGTTTTCAGTTTGCCTGTCTGTCCATCTGTTCAACATTAGCTGCAGAACTGTAGCTTTCGGGTTTTATTTACGTCTTTGACCATAACGTTACAGATCCCGTAATGTAAAAAATGTGCAATTTACGGTGCAAGATTTTTTGCGCACTTTTGGGGAAATTTTCTCCACTTTGCAGCATTGGTCAATCAACCACTTTTCACTCCCTAATTCTAGACACATTCTTCAACCAATCTGTATATTTTATTCACCTCCCAACCCCTTATAGTCGTGTCTACAGGCAATAAACTCGCTTGATTTGAATTGTCTGTTGGATTGGTGAAAATTCACTTCAAGCGAGTTTATCACCTGTTGAGACGAATATAAAAGGTTGGGAGGTGGATGAAATAAACAGATTGGTTAAAGAATGTGTCTAGAATTAGGGAGTGAAAGACAATGCTGCAAAGTGGAGAAAATTTCCCCCAAAAGTGCGCAAAAGATCTTGTGCTGTAAATTGCACAGTTTTTGCATTACGGAATCTGTAGCGTTATGGTCAAAGACTAATATATAAAACCATAACGCTACAGTTCTGCAGCTATTTCAACATCTACGAAAATGCCCTCTAAGAACGTGCTGAATGATCATCAGTCATAAAGTTTATAGATCTATGATCTATCAAATTATTAGACACGTATGAAAAGTGGAAGAATATAAAGTGATCGGGATGTCCGTCCGTCTGTCTTCATATCTGTCCGTCTGCCTGTTAAACTTTGGGGTACCCATCTCTTATCCGGAACTCCTCATACCACTGAATGAAATTTGATGAGACTTTCACAGAATCTTTGTTATACAGTGAGATTTTGCACCTCCTATTTTATTCTTTTCTTTGAGGCATAATTTGGGCTTCCTATGTCAAAACATGGGCACTGCCATTCTTTCTATAATATTGAAGGGTACCCATCATTTGTACGCAACTCCTCTTATACCAATGAATAAAATTAAATGATACTTTCATAGATTCTTTTTTACTTAATGTAATTTTGCAAAAATTTTACTTTGTGGTCTGACACTTATTACGGGCCTCCCAGAGCAAAACATGGAATCTGCTATTATGGTCATATGGGAGGCGTGGTATCATAAAGTGAGTTCAGTGCTCACAGTACCTTCAGTTTACTATCAATACATAGCTGTAATACATGTATATGTTTATCTTTTTAAAAACTCTCCATAGGAACTGGAGACAACACTTCTGATCGGACTTGGGTGCAGCGTAGCGAGTCTTGTGGTTCTACTTCCGGCTGTTTATGTCTTTATGAAATTCAAGTTAGTTTCCTTTGATTCAATTTTCAAGTCAATTTTTGCTAATTGTAACAACAGCTCACAAAGCCTCTAAGTTAAATTTCTTTTCTACAAAATTAAAGATTTCTAAAATGGTATTTTGAATTACATCAGATCACTGCGAAAACAACACCGAATACGTCTACATATCAACCTCTTCCTGTCATTCGTGTTTAAAGAAGTGATGGAGATCTTGTGGGACATGTTAGTGACGTATGATAAAGTCACAAGTACGGCAGTGTTCGAAACAGCACTGTTACAAAATGGCGTAAGTTACTGGAATTTGCGCGGACAAAAACTATCAATGTTAAATATTCCACTCTTTATAGAAGTTATTAACTTACAGTCAGTGGTTTTGTTAGGCCGTGTATGACCTGGACCCAAGTCTCAATTCCACAACAAAATAACTTGCATGTACTTTCGGACTATATATTTAGTCGTCACATAACAGTAAAGATTGTATTTGATCGCCATACTTTTACCACTAGTGTAATCTTGTTTCCCATTGTTTGTAGGCGGGCTGTAAGCTGCTGTCCTTCCTGAAGATCTACTTTAAGTGCTGTACCTATACGTGGATGTTCTGTGAAGGTTTCTATCTACATCGTCTGATGTCTAATGCCTTCTCCCCACCACGATCACTCAGGGTCATGTACGTGTTTGGATGGGCTGTGCCCTTGGTCTCCTCAACCTTGTATGGGATTTTACGGGGAATCCTTAACAATGAAAGGTCAGCTTAGCGACAAGTGTTCGTATTCTATAAAGGCTACCCATCCCTAAGTTTCTCTCAAACACTTAAATTGTGTCTTACGTGTATTTTGTCAAGTAGTCTGTCTTTATCCTTAAGTTCCATGATAAAAGTTAAACTGGATAAAAATAACAAATTATATTTACATTCCACATGTATTTTTTTGCTTACAAAGTGTAATTAAAGCCGATGGCATTCAAAACAACATAACATGGACATAGATCAAAAGGTTAAAGAATGCTTTTCACTTTAATGTCACAAACGTTGAAAGACATGGAAGTGCAACGTTATAAGCAAAAATCAAAATCCACGCCAAAATTGAAAAGAATCTGTTGCACTTCCATTTATTGTAACTTACCGGAATACCCGAGGGATAATACAAGGATACAGAAATGTTAATTTCATCTGCAGTAGAGAGAAAAAGTGAAAAACTTAAATATAAGCATTGAATAATTATTTATTTATTATATACATATGCATGTAACGCGCGTTACTCAATTTGTTTGCCGTTGCAATTATTAGACTATATCTTGAAAAAAATGATTTAATGCTTAAAAAAACATTTTTCTAGCAATGTGATGAAATAAAATGTTTAAAGTGATCCATGTACAACAAAAAAAAAATTCGATTATCATACCTATCCATGCATTCAGAAGAATAATGTTTTTGCACCCGTTTAGATTTTGAGTTCTTTGCTGAAAATGATAGCTAAGTGGTGCAAAAAGATTTTATATTATCTTTGTGATGTATGGCATATCGCATCTCCCTTACAGATTAATGTTATGTTTATAAACACTGATGTGTAAGGCACATTTAAAGGAGATTTGATCTCTTTCAAAACGTCAAGCGTTTTTCTTTTCATAGGAGCAAATATCAAATTTATAACAGATTAAAACATATCACACATCACCGTATATTAAGGATTATTGAATAAAATCGTTACTCAAAAGCATTTTGCCTTGTAATTATGACGAATTAAAGTTATCTTTCATTGCTTAATAATGATTTCTGACGTTCTGCTGTTCTTTTGTAGTTGCTGGGCACATGGCTATGGGCATCTAGAATGGATATTTGATGCGCCCAATATATTATTTCTGTTTGTAAGTGTTATATTTACATTTAGTGTAATTTTCTACTTGTTTAATTCGAATTTTATTTAACTCTCTATAAAATACGACACCTTGTTTCAGCGCGGTAGAACACACAATAGGGATTTTAACTATGTGCACCTTTAGGAGGCTGGGGGTTTACAAATTAACCAGCAGATATAACTTCGTTAATTAGATATATATGATATCTTAAGCTGTAAACTATCATTTGGCAAAGAAAATTTTCATACATTTTAGTTTTACAATTTGATCATTTTTGTATATCTCCATATGGAGCTCTTCTAATATAGTCTAAATTTGGCCACAACCCACAGCCCTCTTAGGTGATTTAGAAATACCAAGATTTGTATGTTGTTTTGGTTGATTTTAATGAAAAACAATTAACCTTTCGAATTATTGTAACAATGTAAAAATTGAACGTTTGAAATTCACTAATTTTGTCATTTTCCTCTCGCATCAATTAACTTTCCGCGTCATATACATGTGTACATGTACGTATGCGTACGTATGCATACTTACGTACATGTATGTGTTTATTAACCACAACAGTTTTTAGAGGCGCCAAATTTATAATAAAGATGAATAAAACGATCATTTATTAAGAGAGAAAATTTGAGATTGTAAATAGGAGTAAACGCTTTGAATTGTTAATTTTTGACGTCCTCGGTTGTATGTGTATAAAACAGCACTTGTTTTTGTCTAGAAATTTATTTCTGTTTTACGATTGCCTGAACAGCAACATGTTGACTCAGTACCCCTAACGTTGTGAAAAGGATAAGAATGACGACAACCAAAAAATAAGAATTCAGTGCTTAAATATTTTTACGAGCGTTATAGACAGTAATAGAACCTTAACAAAAATTAAATCAACACAGGATAATATGTTATAAAACATTTCGTGACCAAGTCGTAAAAATTGCCAGCTTCCAATATCTAAGTAACTAATGTTTTATCGTCATTTAGCAAATGACGTGCCTTTGTGAAATGTGAAGTCATCATTTAGCATACAATTTGTCTGGATATTGCTGCATCAATTCACGTTTCGAAATATTAAGAAATTGCTAAATTTGACAAAAACGTTTTCCAAAATGAAGATTCCTAGAAGAATTTTTTGAAGACATGTAGTTCAGAGAGAAGACTGACATATACAACCTGTTTTTGTTCCTTAGAGATTACTGAGGAATATATCTGTAGATATCGTTTGCTTTTCGCTGACAGCTGCACATTTTATAAAGATCTCCGTACACATTTTGAAAGAATATTTTTTCTCTGTTTTAGTTAAACCTTGTCTTCTTATCCAACATTTTAAGGATTCTCCTGACTCAGATACAAACTCATCCAAATGAACCGGGTAACTTCAGGTAGGTATAATAAGGACACGTATTCCTCTTTTAATAAGGTCCATATATAGATGTCCATACCTCTTATAAACTTGCATCAAATTTAGCAATGTCTTAATAAATCACGAACTTTCCGTTAATTTTACAGGCGAGCGGTGAAGGCCACTTTTATTTTGATCCCTTTGTTTGGGATACATCTGTTTGTGACGATTTACCGGATCCCGATCAGCAAGGAGGGAGGTCTGGATTACGAGAGGGTCTCGGTTATAATCAATCACACCCAGGTCAGACACGTGTCATAATCAGTCACACCCAGGTCAGACACGTGTCATAATCGGTCACAACCAGGTCAGACACGTGTCATTCATGTTATGTAGACCTGCAAATTGATTTATGAATTAATTGGGTTGTGATGACTACATTCTCGAGAGTTTAATTAATGTTCTTAATTAAGTATAGAAGACTAAAACTTCACTTGCACATAGTGTTTGTGCCTCCCAGTTGAGGCCAATACAGAAGAGATTGTTCTAAACTGAGACAGGCTACTGATAAATATGTTGATAAACAGCTGTGTCAACATTCTCCTTTATATTCAACATTTATCGAATTCTATGGTCAGTGAAATGACCTTTTTACAATTTGTCATTAGGTCGAATGCTGAAGCTCAAGATACAAATTTTGAGCCCATTATTTTCATGCAAGAATATCAACGGATGTTTTCGTGACCCATTCATGACAAGGGATTCTTGGTAGGTGTAGCCACCCGACAAGAGATGCTGTCTCCTCTAATGCACCTTATCCTATATATAATATTTAAAGGTTCCTGTTGCATTTAATTTTATTACATTAAAAAAGTGATTCGGAAGATGGCTGCAAAATTTCCTTGCTGGAGATAGAATTTAGAAAAATTTAAGCAAGTAAGCTTCAAAATGTACATGTAAAAAGTAAAAATAACGAACAGTGATTGATCTAAAAAAAATTGTAAACAATACAAATAAATGAAGAGGGCATGAAACACGAAATTCCAGAGGATCGGGTGATTAGAATTTTAGATTCCCCTGTTGACACGTCACATCCGCCGTTAGCCCTATGTAATGATCATGTAATGATCATGTAATACATACAGAACTATCATAATCAATTCAGTATAAAAACAAAGGCCTAACAAATGATGTTAAACAAGTCAGTCAAAATACGACCCAATGATAATTAGATTATATTTGCGAACAACGTCATTTTATTGACCATAAAATTTACGAAAGGCTGAGTTTTAGCGAGGTTGTTGTAATACTTGTATAATCAACTTATCAATGAGTAGCCTGCCTGGCTTTAAAACATGCTCGTATTCAGAGCAAGCTTTAGAGTAGCGAATAAGTTGGGTATCATAAATACCATAAGCAAGTGATATATATAGAGAATATTACATACTAAAATCCATATCATATGTCACATCAGCCCGAGTGGCCCCATATCAGCCCGAGGGCCTCCGGCCCTCGGGCTGATATGGGGCCCGAGGGCTGATGTGACATATGATATGGATTTTAGTATGTAGTATTCTATTTATCATATATTTAAAATACTTAATATGCGAGTTCACATATGGTCGTTGAAGAATGTTTGTGCTTGTTAGTGACATTTTTCTTTAAAATTTAATAGAGCCAATTTTAGGTAACTGGAAAAAAATTAAGACCACAAATGTCATAAAAGAATTATTTTATATGAATATTTAAATAAAATCAAGTAAATTAACCTTTAAACTTAATACAAACGTTACTTCCGGTTTGATATGGATTTTCGGCCCGCCGGTCCGATACGTGATATGGCTTTTCGGACCGGTCCGTGATATGAGGTATTGTGAGTCACCCGTATCACACCGTGCAGAATCGGTGTATTTACTACTAAGTATATGATAAAGTGGAATAGTACATAAACAAGGAAAGCTGAGGACGGGAAATCTGAATTCATCTCGTTTGCCATACACTTTAATTAATAGTCAGCCTTTATCATCTATATAGTCAGAAAAACATCCAAATACAAAACAGGATTGGCAGACTCTATGGTGTCTATTATATCAGGTTCACTGGGATATATCGAGTCAACATACGAATGAAAATACTGAACTATTGTTCAATATTATACTTTCATGTAAATTACTTGAATCTGATTCGTCGAGAAACATTTGATAAAAAACACTACTACCCGCTGAATAATGAAGCCACGCCCTCCTGCGTAGCAACAGTCAACATTGCTTGACGACGGGTGGTTTTCTAAAAAATAGCGACTGCGCGGAATTTATGCTCGCGCGGTTCACTGTAATATGTATTTGTCTAAAACATTCAGTATAATATAATAAATATTGCATGTAGTTGAGTGTAACATTGAAAATTTTCACCCCTCGAAAACCATTGTCAACCTCGGCTGCGCCTCGGTTGACAATGGTTTTCTTGGGGTGTAAATTTTCAATGTTACACTCAACTACATGCAATATTTAATTATTTATATATTGATCAATCATCATTGATATCTCTGAATGTCGAATTGAAGGCCACCGTTAGTGTTTTCTCTTCTTGAGTGACGTTTTTGAATACCGGTAAATTCTTCAAAGGAATATAAAAATAGGTCAGCTTATAATGCAGCATAATAAGTCCCTATCGATTTCCAACAATTTGTTGGAAACTTGGTCTCCAAAGACTACATATATGTTGTCAGTGAGGAACCCCATCATCCTTTTAATATCAACTTCAGAATTTGTGTTTGTACAATGACACTTGGTTGCACTGTGATTTAGATGACACAGTTTTGGTTCTTTTGTTTCAGGGCTTCTTCGTCGCCATGGTGTTCTGTTTTCTGAACGGCGAGGTAAGTAGGAGGTCAGTTATCTCTCTCCATTAAGTTGTCTGTAATCTTCCACAAAAAGCGACAAACTGTGGATTTATCCTGAGCAAATGAATCTTTTTTTATTCTTCTTGAATTTTTAGATCCACTCAGTCTAATAACTAAGTCCTTTTTTTTAATAAACGTCGATTCTTTTAAATAGTCAAAAAGAAGTACATCATGCATTTGGGTGCCATGTAACAGACTGAACTCACTTTCAATCTATACGTTAATTTGTATAAACCTATACTTTTTGGTAAATTTATAAATAAATTGATTTGGATTATTTATATCTGCCATATGGACAATACATTTAATATCGTTTTTATTTCATTACCAGGTTATCTCAAACATAAAGAGAAGTATAAGACACTATCGGAGCAGGTCGTTCTCTGCTTCTAAGCGACTGAACCAAACGACACAGCAGACACTATCAATCAGGTCTGAGTATGACGCCAATAGGACAGGCGATCAGTGTTACAAATCCTTAATAGTGCCAACAGAGAACAAAGATGAACTAGAACTTAAAGACACTTCTACCAATGGTAATATTCATGGAAACTCCTAGCACAGGACAAAAAGAAACTCCTGTCGAAACGGAGTAATGTAACGTGTTTTTGTAAATGGCTGAATACGAGACAATGGATATACTGAATGCTGGCATTAAAAACAAGTGTCTTGTATGATGATATACATGTATGTTTTAAGAAACCTAAAGAAAGAGACCCGGTGAGATATTTCCAGTACTTTACAAGTACATATTGGTGCATGACTCTAAAGTTGAAATAATGGATGTTCGAAGAGAAGCTCGTGTTCTGTATAAATATATGGATGAGGCAGCAGGCTGGTCCTACAGCAACCTTCTCCTTGAAATCATTCATACTGTACTGTCAATGAACTGTGCTGAAGTTACTGTTCTATGAAATAGGGTAGAAAATGTAATACTATAAGTTATGATAACGATTTACATACTCTAGTAATTATTTTACAAAGAGGATGTGCAATTTGCCTTTTCCTTCACATGACCTCAGCACATAAATGTACTATGCATTCTTCAAGCATAATTGTTGTTGAGAATAATACTTTTATGTTAGGCAGTTTTTTTTCTTTTCTCCTGCTCAATAGTATTTTTAGAAAATAAGAAATTGTGAATTCATTTTAGTACCATACAGGCTCTGTTGTAAATAAAAATTCTGATACAAATTTTGTCTTTGAGACATCAGTGGTACATGTATCAATGGAATCATTGAACATGTAGCCAATCAACGTTTACATCTAAACCAATTGGACAAAATATTAACCAATTCGTGGCATTTACATGTAGCAGCAATCATTTGCAAAAATGTAAAAACACAGACTCCTATTCACTAGTACTTTAAGTAGTTTTCATTTTAAATGGATGTTGCTCATGCCTAAAGTTTCACTGCTTTGGCTGTGTTATGAATCAACTGAATTGTTTGTGAAACTGCTCAGTTTTATTTCTAAGTGCCACTGTGACTAATAATGTCATAGGGACTTAAATCTGTATCCTACTCAGTTTTTAAAAGTACTACATTGTAAGTGTGTCGCGATGACTTTTTAGGGTGATTTCATCTTCAATTTTAGGGATAAGTTTATTGTTAAGTTGGTGTTTGATTTAATTTTATTTTATGGTATTAAATAAATTTAGTAAATTAACCAATATCTAGATAGGACCTAATGCAGACCTAGGAGAAAGTATTGTAGCGGATTTCATTCAGTCATTTCACCTCTATCCATGATTGCTTTAAACGTTTTTACTGTATATATTATTCATAGAATGGTTAAGGACTGATTCATACCTCATACATATATATGGATAATGGAAAGCAATATCAGGCAACAAATGAAATAAGTACACTATATATAATCCAGAAGAATGAAGTTCTGAATGTGCAGAGATTGCTTATTCCACAGTTGTTGGGGTCTTCTGAGTTCTCTATGTCAAAAATTTCATCTTGGGACACTGGTCGAATGCCCTCATCAAGGGTTATAGTTTGACAGTCGTAGCTGTGTTTTACTATACCAGTGTCTTTTAACTCCGGGCACATATCCTTAACGTTCCAGAGACATCTGTTGTTTCCAGCAGAACTAAGAGTGGCGGTCATATTGGTATTGCATGTCAGGTTGTTGTTCGTAAAATCCAGACCCGGTTGAAGTATGTTGAATCCACACAGCGTGGACTTGAATGTATTCCCTGTGATCTGGATCGAGGAGACTGATTTAAGATTGACTATAGCCTGGCTCTCCATTAACTGAATGTAAGAGTTGGTCAGCTGTAGGACACGTACCTCGTCAAGCTCGGCAAAAGAAGCGTAACTCATATTCGTCACTGTTAGTTTATCCATTTTGAACAGCTCGACACCTTGAACTCCATGAAAAGCCAGCTTGGAAATTTCTTTGATACGAACATTAATGAATTCGATTTTTTGTACAGACTTCAGGTCCGAGAACGCATTTTGCACGATTTCTTGTATGCTGGAATCCTTGACCAATATTTGACTTAGGTTAGAAGCAGTGGAAAATGAACAGGCATGCATGTATGTGATATCTGATGAACTGATTATGATTGCTCTCAAATTGGGAGCAACTCTGGTCAGAGCCTGAAGAAATCCACTCTGTATATTGATGATCGCTGAATGCGTCAGACGAAGTTCAACCATAGTTGATGGAAAGCTTTGAGGAGTTATATAGGTCTGATTCAAGCAAGTGATCACGTCCTTTTCTGTAGAACATTTTGCCGGGAGAAAACCAACTGTTACAGTGTTTTGGATTAGATTAAATAATACGAAAAGGGCTACCTGTCTCTCCTGCAAAAGTGAACAAAAAGTTTCTTAAAGCACAACAAAACAGAAATTTTAAATTATTATAAACTGCTACATAGTTTAGGCCGAAGACACCTACATTAGTTCAAAACTATACAGTCATGCATCTGAAATACTTCAGATAATTCATGATAAAAATTGTCTTAGCAAAAGAAAAATACATAAATAACCTACCATTGTTGTCATAAAGAGTGGTTTACATCTCCAAACCCCTTTCTAAAACACATCTTACGGCGTAATTTATTGAGCGCTTAAACATGTGTAAAAATAGGTTTCCTTTTTAACATAGTTCAAGCCGAAGTTTCCGTTTCTATATTAAACACATAGCAATTACAATACACAAGACACTTTATAATTTATCCATCCTTAAGTTGTATGCTAGCGATAGGAGTGTACCAAGGGAACAGAGTGCTCTTGATCATCGCATGCCTTCTTAGTTTGGTGAATATATATAGGAGTCACAATTTATGTCTGTCATTTTGTCTGTCTGTCTGTCAAACCCACATTAACATTGGAAGTCCATCAAATACTAGAGCACACTAATGATGATGAATAAATACTTCATGGAAGATACGTCATACTACAAAGCTATGGGTAATGCTAAAGTACATAGAAAAGTAAGCAACCTCTGTCGACCAGTCTAACCCACCCTGTGCTACATGACATGTTTTGGCAAACGGAAAAATCTGTAAATTAAGAATAAAAGTATTGGCCTTGTAACTTTAATTTAAACAAGAGGCCCATGGGCCACATCGCTCACCTGAGTAGCTTTGACCATGCTGTTCTTTACCAGATTTCCCCTTGTATAATAACCTATCGTGATTCCAAATTATGGCCCTGTCCTATCCCTGGGGATCATGAATTGAACAATTTAGAATCTACATTACCCTAGGATGCTTTCACATAAGTTTTAGTTTTTCTGGCCCAGTGTTTCTTGAGAAGAATAATTTTAAAGATTTTTAGCTCACCTGAGCCGAAGGCTCAAGTGAGCTTTTCTGATCACATTTTGTCCGTCGTCCGTCCGTCCGTCTGTAAACTTTTCACATTTTCGACTTCTACTCCAGAACCACTGGGCCAATTTTGACCAAACTTGGTACAAAGCATTCTTGGGTAAAGGGAAATTTAAATTATAAAAATAAAGGGCCAAGTCCCCTCACAAGGGGAGATAATCAAGAAAAGACAAAAATAGAGTGGGGTCATTAAAAAATCTTCTTCTCAAGAACCACTGGGCCAGAAAAGCTGAAACTTATGTGGAAGCATCCTGGGGTAGTGTAAATTCTATATTGTTCAAATCATGACCCCCGGGCGAAGGGCGGGGCCACAATGGAGAATCAAAGTTTTACATAGAAATATATAGGAAATTTTTTTTGAAAATCTCCTTCTCAAGAACCACCGGGCCAGAAAAGCTGAAACTTATGTGGAAGCATCCTGGGGTAGTGTAGATTCTAAATTGTTCAAATCATGACCCCCAGGGGAAGGGCGGGACCACAATGGAGAATCAAAGTTTTACATAGAAATATATAGGAAAAATCTTTGAAAATCTTCTTCTCAAGAACCACTGGGCCAGAAAAGCTGAAACTTATGTGGAAGCATCCTGGGGTAGTGTAGATTCTAAATTGTTCAAATCATGACCCCCGGGGGAAGGGCGGGGCCAGAATGGGAAATCAAAGTTTTATATAGAAATATATAGGAAAAATCTTTGAAAATCTTCTTCTCAAGAACCACTGGGCCAGAAAAGCTGAAACTTATGTGGAAGCATCCTGGGGTAGTGTAGATTCTAAATTGTTCAAAACATGACCCCCGGGGGAAGGGCGGGGCCACAATGGGGAATCAAAGTTTTAAATAGATATATATAGGAAAAATCTTTGAAAATCTTCTTCTCAAGAACCACTGGGCCAGAAAAGCTGAAACTTATGTGGAAGCCTCCTGGGGTAGTGTAGATTCTAAATTGTTCAAATCATGACCCCCGTGGAAAGGGCGGGACCACAATGGAGAATCAAAGTTTTACATAGATATATATAGGAAAAATCTTTGAAAATCTTCTTCTCAAGAACCATTGGGCCAGAAAAGCTGAAACTTGTGTGGAAGCATCCTTGGGTAGTATAGATCCTAAATTGTTCAAATCATGACCCCCGGGGAAAGGGCGGGGCCACATTGGGGAATCGAATTTGTACATAGAAATATATAGGAAAAATCTTTGAAAATCTTCTTCTCAAAAACCACTGGGCCATAAAAGCTGAAACTTATGTGGAAGCATCTTCTTATAGTGTAGATTCTAAATTATTCAAATCATGACCCCCGGGGGAAGGGCGGGGCAACAATGGGGAATCAAAGTTTTACATAGATATATATAGGGAAAATCTTTGAAAATCTTCTTCTCAAGAACCACTGGGCCAGAAAAGCTGAAACTTATGTGCACATGGAAGGATCCTCGGGTAGTGTAGATTTCAAAATGTCTAAATTATGATCAGTGGGTGAGGATGCATTATGTATTACAAGGGGGAAATCTGGTAAAGAACAGAATGGTCAAAGCTTCTCATGTGAGCGATGTGGCCCATGGGCCTCTTGTTCTAATATATTTCTAAGTAAAATTTTGATTACCTATTGTGGCCCCGCCCACCCCCCGGGGGTCATGCTTTGAATAATTTAGAATCTACACTATCCTAGGATGCTTCCACATAAGTTTCAGCTTTTCAGGCTCAGTGGTTCTTGAGAAGAAGATTTAAAAAAAAAAATTCTATATATTTCTATGTAAAACGTTGATTCCCTATTGTGGTCCCGCCCAACCCCCGGGGGTCATGATTTAAACAATTAAGAATCTACACTCTCCCAGGAAGCTTCCACGTAAGTTTCAGCTTTTCTGGCCCAGTGGTCCTTGAGAAGAAGATTTTTTTAAAGTTTTCTTCTATATATTTCTATGTAATACTTTGTTTCCGGATTGCGCCGCCCAACCCCCGGGATCATGTTTTGAACAATTTAGAATTTACTCTATCCCAGGATGCTTCCACATAAGTTTCATCTTTTCTGACTCAGTAATTCTTGAGAACATTTTTTCAAGACCCCACCCTATTTTTGTCTTCTCTTGATTATCTCCCCTTGGGAGGGGACTTGGCCTTTCATTTTTACAATTTTAACCCCCCCCCTTCACACAAGGATGCTTTGTACCAAGTTTGGTTAAAACTGGCCCAGTGGTTCTTGAGAAGAAGTCGAAAATGTGAAAAGTTTACAGACGGACAGACAAACTAAATGTGATAAAAACATCAGTCAACAAGGTGATTGTTAGCTGCAGAGCTGTAGCTCGCTGGTCTGAAAAAGAATTGGGATGGACGTCCATCCCAATTGTTTTCAGACCAGCAGCAAGCTACAGATCTGCAGCTAGGTCATTGTACACAAACTATATATGCAAAATATACAGAGTACATGTACATGTATATTATAATATCATGTAACATGTAATGGTATATTACTACATGAATAAGTGAAGTTGAAGCCATCACGTTTAATACACAGGCATCTCACGTTACTTATGTTCTTATACACCGTGTATATCCCAACATGCGGGGTGTATACTATGTTGTGCGCGGGGTGTATGTTTTCGAAGCGAAAGAGAGGGGTCGAGGTACGTTTTTTGTCCGTTTTCTCAACGTACAGATATTTTTCGCCAGAAAGCATGTGACTACGGAAGAAAGCATTATCTAAGGAGTATATGGATACCTATGAATCTAGTGGACACCTTCTAGCTTTACCAAACACCTCACACAATTCCGAGGATCGGAGCAAGATTGACGCTACACTGTGTTTATGATCAAATATCAGAACAAAGCTTTGCTTTATCATCACTTTTATATTATTGTTAAATACATGTTTACAATATAAACGTTTGTACTAATTGTCCATAAATAAAACAGTTCGTATTTAAAGATATTGACGAAAAAACAATGTTGTGTCCGCGGTGTATGCAACATGTTAAACGCGTTGTGTACACCCCTTATTTTACACTAAAGTATCATTGTCTGAAATATCATTGAAAATTTTACTTAACAATTGACTTTTGTGAAAGTTCTATTAATTGTTTAAATTATTCACCAGTTTTGTAATAGCACAACTTCAGGTTCATGTGTTCGATTTACTGGAAAAAAATTGATACACGTTCATCGCACTTTTGGCTTTGCATCCACATGGAAGTAAATATACAGGGTTTATATATAATGTGATAACCAACAATTCATCGCTACTTTCGATTTAAAGGCACCTTATTCAGATCCTACCTTAATAAATGCTTCACATGCACATGCATCTTTTTGAACATTTAACATTTTCTCTTTAATTTCTGTTTAACTTTTTTTGCAATATTTTTTAAATGACATTGAAAAATAGCTTTTTGTAATGTCATAAACACCGCAAAAAATGTTCTCCTATATGTAGTATTTTTATGCTGTGTACTTTGCATCCAGAAGCCCATAATTGGCAGTAAACTATTTGTTTTATATTGAGGCATTGTATTGTACTGAGTACATATTTATTAGGAATGAGCCCGGGGAGGGTGTGTGTGTCTTAGGTCATTTTTTTTGGTTACTTTACTACATGTTAGTACGATAATGAATTAGAGGAGGGGTGAACATTACTTGATATTAATTACAGTTCAACGTAAAATTGTAATTGTATCCAAAACAGTTTTTTTTCAATTGTGCATGCCCTCAGAAAATTGTCGTCCATTATTAGAAATGTGCATTTTTATAGCAGGCTTTACATGTTTATTGTGATTTGTTAAATATGAAAACTTTTCAGATAAGGAAAATTGAGTCTGCACATTGCGAAAATTGGAAGTAAAATTAATATATCATACAGAAACGTTTTTGTTCCAGACAACTTTTCACTATAGAAAATGCTCATCAAGTCAGGTTGCCCCACCCCTTTTCGTTGCAGCATAGTCAAATAATGGTAATGTAGTGTGTTTCAGTAAAAAAAAAAGGAAAATTGATACTGAAAAAAGATGGGACCTACAACCCATCTGAAATAGGAGTTTTGAGTTTCGAAAATTCCCCCCTTTTTTATAGCTTGTCAAGGTTTTTTATGTATCCCCCCTTCAAAAAAGATTCTACGTCACTGTCATAAATGCTCAAGAATACATGTATTGATAACATAAATATTGCAGAAACAAAACAAAAAAAAAAAAAGAAAAAAGATTTATTCATAATACACCATTCATGTAGAGTTTCTATTATTTTTAACAGGCGAAACATTTAGATTAAAACGAGCTGAAGAAAGGACAAAGTGTCCTCAATGCAGAATAGGAGGGGGGAGGGCCTCCTTTGGTGAGATTTAATGATTAAGTAGATTTAGACCATTGCAACCATCTACAATGTAGCATTAATTCAGATAACAATCGCTCCTTGAACACCTAGCGTCTATTATGTTTAAATGTGATCCTTTTTTAAAAATTCTTTATTCTTTTGACTTTTTAAAATTTAGTTTGTTTTATACTTCAGTAAGTTTATGGAAATTACTTTTTGGTTCGGCATTAATATTAAGGTCTTTTATGAACACTATCTGTCGCTTATATACCCGTATGAATAATATTTCCATTGATACTTCGCACTAACAATCCAGAAATATATGGGGTATACACCCCATATACAACATGTTGCATACACCCGGACACAACATTGATTTTTCGTCAATAACTTTATACACAAACTGTTTTATTTACAGACAATTTGTACAAACATCTATATAGTAAACATGTATTTAACAATAATATAAAAGTGATGATAAAGCAAAGCTTTGTTCTGATATTTGATCATAAACACAGTGTAGTGTCAATCTTGCTCCGATCCTCGGAATTGTGTTGAGGTGTTTGGTAAAGCTAGAAGGTGTCCAGTGGATTCATAGGTATCCATATACTCCTTATAATGCTTTCTTCCTTAATCACATGCTTTCTGGCGAAAAATATCTGTAAGCTGAGAAAACGGACAAAAAACGTACCTCGACCCCCTCTCTTTCGCTTCGAAAGCATACACCCCGCGCACAACATAGTATACACCCTGCATTTTGGGACATACACGGTGTTATATAAGAAAAAAAAACCATACCAAATAATAAGGTAAGGAGGTATTTTTCTTTTTATAAGAAAAATAAGTAACGTCAGGTGCCTGTTGTTTGTCAATAATGTCTTACTCAAGTAGAACATTCAAATAGATGTGTCAAATTCTTTGTTGCGTTTTTTTCCCGTATCGAATTATAGCGGGTATCTAAATACCGAATGGTAGAGAACACAGCAAGGAACTTCTTTTTCTTCTTTCAAAATTTTAAAATTCTGCTTTACATAAAATACAAAAATAGGACTGCAATAAGTAGCAATATGAATTACAGTATATAATTGGAAGACTTATCTCTAAAACATCGGGTGGTATCGTAATCAGAAACTTTTTTCTAAATATTGAATTTAATTGGATAATTCGTGTTGACTATCAGGATGTTTTTCAGCGAAATAATTTTGCAGAGAACCATTGAAAAGGGATATTAATAATCAGATTATTGATAAGATCATTAGGCAGAAAGAGCGACCATAACTGTCTAATCGACAAACATTTGATAGGTTTACCGTACTTTACAGAGTTATTTGTTAAATCTAGTGTGTTCTGGTATTTGATGGACTTCTAGATTTGTGAGATCTAGTTTGTTCTGGTATTTGATGGACTTCTAGATTTGTTAGATCTAGTGTGTTCTGGTATTTGATGGACTTCTAGATTTGGTAGATCTAGTGTGTTCTGGTATTTGATGGACTTCTAGATTTGTTATATCTAGTGTGTTCTGATATTTAATGGACTTCTAGATTTGTTATATCTAGTGTGTTCTGGTATTTGATGGACTTCAAGATTTGATAGATGTAGTGTGTTCTGGTATTTGATGGACTTCAAGATTTGATAGTTCTGGTATTTGATGGACTTCTAGATTTGATAGATCTAGTGTGTTCTGGTATTTGATGGGCTTCTAGAATTGTTAGATCTAGTGTGTTTTGTATTTAATCGACTTCCAGATCAATTTATAATCAATTTCTCCTCCTACAGTTTTGGTCTGATTTTAATATAATGCAGCATGCAAGCAGAGTACTGTGGGATATATAATTGTTTTTTTTTTTTTTTTTAATTTTGATGTATAATGTTGGCATGGTTAGTAAAAGTGAAATTTCTGTAAAGTTCTTTTCAAAGGCTACTTCCAGTTGTAGTATTATTGCAATTTTGCCCAAAAAAAGAGGCTAAATCAAGTATCATTTTTGTATTCATGCTGTTGCAAAGTTTCAAGTTCAACTGCTACTTGTCTCTTCCTTTGTTTTAAGTACATATAAACCAGTAGAGCTACATTCTCGACAGAGACTTCTGGTTTAGTAACAGTACATGGACAAATAGCCTCCTTTTTTATCTTAAATAGTTGATCGTACAAATTATATGTTGAATTCTATTCTAACGTTTCAAATTTTAAGTTAAAACAGCCGCGTTTGCGCAAACAAAATATAACAGGTGCGCATTTTTGAAATTCAATACTGCTGCTGCAGAAAAAAATACTAGACTAGTGTATAATCATGGATAAGGATGACTGTATTGTCATTCATTTATCATTTGACAAAATTTGAACTTTGTTTGTCTTCATCATGCTAGTCAAGAGACTATAACGGTCATTTTCACCAGGACTGAACTGATAAAGCCACCAGCTATCAGGCTAATGTAAACTCCATAAACATGTCGACAGGTAAAGTCAACTTTTATCTACAATACATTAAAATTTTATCAGTGGAAGCTTAAAGTAAAATAATATTTTACAACTGTTACAACTGCATGAGACTGTTTTTTTGGGCATTGCATAGTGAAGTGTCTAGGAGATTACGTGTTTTGTCATAAATGAAATCAGTACTCATATAGCGATTTTATTTATTTTCATTGTGTACATGTACATGTATGTCGTTAGCTTTTTCTTAATTTTTTATTTGCATGCTTGCAGTTTACAAATACATGTAATTTGTTACCACACCACCTTGTAGGATTTGATTTTCGGTGTAATGAGGGGGAATGTGGTGTAACAGAGAAGCAAGTGTCCGTGTTTAAAGAGACGGGATGTCTGATTCAAAGGTAGCTGTAAAACAGAAATGAAAACATTAAATATGTTTATTAGCATCACATCAAAAATCATGTTTATTTGAAGTGATATCAGTTTTTGCAATGAGTCTTGTGGTATTTGTATATTTAAGGGGCTTGTTTGGACAAAAAGAAATTCAAAAGATAGAGCAGATGCTACAAGAGAGTGACCTAATAAAGAAGTATAGCTATGGGGTATGATATAAATGGAATAATTGGTAATGATTTTCTAAAATATTATATCTTAAAAAGAATTAATTTCCTGTGAGTTCGTTTTCCAAAGATCATGCTCAAATTGCAGGTGTGAGTTCCTTATTTTACCCCACTCTGAAAGATTCCACATACTAAGTATATAAGTTTTAACTTTTTCCTGCTCCAGTGGTTTTTGAGAAGGTTTTTTGTTACCCCTAACTATTTTTTTCTTGATCATTTTCCTTGAAGGGGCTGAACAATTAGAGTTCCCTTTCATTCAGAATTTAATGCTTTGTATAAACTTTGATTCAAAATTAATTTAATTTATTTAATTTAAAAGAACTTCGATTTTTCCTCATGTTCGACGTACAAGTTCCATTATATGAATAATTACAAATAAAACATTAATATAAGAATCTTTACTCCACTAGATTCCAGACCATACAGGGAGAATGCCCAGAATGATGTTGTGGTTACATCCGGGGTCTGACGTCACTGGGATGATGGCCAGATGCAAGAAAGTTGTCGACACTGCCGAGAAAGTATAAGCTTTATGATTTAAAATAATGTAGTAATTATTATGAAATAGTACACTTCACATGGTGTGATAGTTTATAGATATATATTACATGTATCTGTAAGCAGAAATGCCCATAAACATATGTTGCGAGAAAAAAAAAGAAGAAGATTTTTCAGTATGATATATTTATTTGTCTGCTCTATCACTGCAGCTTCTGGGAGGGGAAGTCTACCATTACCACACCAAGCTGATTATGAAGGACCCGCTGGTTGGAGGGGGGTTTGAATGGCACCAAGATTATGGGTAACTATCAAGTATTTAAAGTATAATAAAACGTTCAGAATTAAAGCAAACAAAAAGGGAAATGTAAAGCAAAATAAAACAGTCATGTTGATAATATACATAATCTAAAAAATAAAGAAACAAAATTGACATGCAAAACAAACAAGCCAAAAAAAAAAAATTATTCTACAAGGTCGGTGTGAAAAATAGTAATCATACTATAGTTCATACTTATTTTACTGATAAATTTTAACTTTGAATTTCTATTTATAGATACTGGTATTTCAATGGTCTGCTATACCCAGACGCTGTTAGTGTGATGGTGTCCTTAGATAAGTGTACCAAAGAAAATGGCTGCGTTCAGGTACACCAAATTTAATGATAATTTTAATTCCCCCACTCTCCATTACTTCAAGTAATATTAATTAATTGTATACAATTTACTTATGAATTTTCATTTTTGTTTTTTCCCAATTAATAGTACATATATGAATAACTCCAAATTTTGGCCTTTACTCGGCACTCAGAACTATTGATCAGTAAGGGTTCTTTATCTGCCAACGCGTACGCCTGCCGTGCACTGTGACTCCACACTTGCCGCCGGGGGTCATGATTTTAGAAACTTGTAGCTACACTACTCGAGAACGCTTCCATATAAACAATGACTAATCCTGAGATTGCTGTTCTTGAGAAGATTTTCACGACTTTCTGTACATTTCCATTATAAACAGATCGCCCATCGCATTATGGTCCAACCCTACCACTGAGGGTCATGATTTGAACGGATCACGATTTGAACAAACTTGAAAGTTCACTATGTGATAGTTTCAACTCTTTCGGCCTTGTAGTTCATGAGAAGAATATTTTTAAAGACCCCCATACCTGTATATAATAGTTGATCAACTATATATATAATTGTAGTCCCCCCCTATCCCACAGGGTTCAAGACATGAAAAGAAAATGAATCTTCACTTCATCCTGAAGCTTTAACAAAAGTATCAACGTTCCTTTGAAGAAAAATAATTTAACAAGATGTCATTTAATTTCCACTAAATCTTGAATATATTCGCGTGGAATAGGGCATGTCCTTACCATTGAACAAGCTTGAATCTTCTTTATTTCCGGATGCTTATGGCAAGTTTGGTTAACCTTGGATAATAGCTGAAAATGTGAATAGAATGGACGATGTCGACAGATAAAATGTGATAAAAAAATATCATTTGAGTTTTCAGCCCCAGTAAGTTTAAAATGTCGAAACATTGCAAAAATATTTTCCAGAGAAAGGAAATTCACCTTCGGCCTTCAAGTGTTTTTAATAACAGAATTAACAAAAAATGACTTGATTTTTTTTTTTTACTTTTATTAAGAAGTCCTGTGTCTTGGCATTATTATAGTTACATGTATATACACCAATCTATGTCACGATATTTTGACCAAAACCTTTTCTATGTACAGTGTTGCGAGTAATACCAAATAAATTAACACAACTTGTTTACTTCTTTATCCGAAAAATATCACAGGAAGCTAACATACATGTAGCTTAATAATTTAACATTTCATAGGACAATGCGTGCTATGATTTAAGTACAATTCTCTGTTATCCTTGGACTCTCAGTAAGGCATGGCATTCTCAACGTTACATTAGTGGATCAACAGTATTTCATTCACTGTTGAAATATACATGGAAGAGAAACTCTACAACATTAATTACTAAACATATAACACATAAATACATTATTTTAGGAGAAGTTTAGCATATCTTCACATTGCAGTATAACACAAACAAATTAAGTGCGTCACAAATCATAATATGAGGCATTCAAATGTCACATTTATGACATAGAGCAATGTTTGTATCTCGTATAGCTGCTCATCAGTTATATTTCATCGTGGACTATTCCCTGTCGTCCCTTTTCAATTATTTTGTTCAGTAGAGCAGTAGCTGCTGGTTTCAAATTCTCTCCTGTAGTAATAGGAATATCTAATATGACGTAACGTTTGTTGTTGACGTCATATCGCGGCCATTCTGGTAAACTCTCATCATTTGGATCACTGGAAAGATTAATTTTTTTTTAGTTATGTTTAGTTCATGAAAAATATTCTGCCAAATTAATGCTCGCTTCTTTTAATTTTACATGTAATATCATGCTTTAAGGTTTACAATTTTATGCAAATATATCAAAATACAAACATATGTAATGATGACTCATGAAAGTCTTATCAACCAAACATGAAAACCAAGGTCGATATGCTTTATATATGAAGTTGATATTTGTTTTTAACATTTTTCTCATAAAAACGAGGAATAACAAAAAATTCTAGTCATGTAGATACTTGTGTTTGCTAATCGATTTTTTTCTATACTTACATAAAGAAACTAACTGGAATTCTGCATACTAGTACTATAGTAGTAGTATTGTAACGAACAATGATTCTTACCCAAACTTTGCGAAATTGGTCCAATACTTTATCATATCGTCAGAAAGCTTCTTCGTTTCTTCCAGGTTTTTACGTTTCTCTTCTGGGAAATGTATGGTTGGGAAATCAAACATTAGGTATACCTCATCGCCATGCCCTGCCCCTTTAAACCAAACAGGTGGGTCTCCTCCAAATGGCACGGGACTTGGCTTTGTAACCAAATATTGAAAAGATTTAGCGTTTTCGTTATTCTTGCCATGAATCGAAAGAATGATGTTACTTGGTACAATGAACATATGATCACCACCAAATTCGCAAACCTTATTACTTTGAGCATCAACACTTTCTGCAGTAGTGTAAAAATCACATATTTCTTGCGCTAGTTCGGGGACATTGCCGGCAACTTGTTCTACATAAACCGGAGCACTGATTTCACAGAGAATACGTAATGGTACTTTTTCTGTAACATTGAATTCGTAATGTTTTTGAATCTCGTCATTTAAATGCATATAAACCAGGTTTCCTTCCCCATCAAGTGTCCCTGACATGAAATCCACGGAGCGGAAGACACTGTAAATTTCATCATCTACTGACCAGGGGTATGCTACGTTTTTCTTAATTAGTTCACCATCAATGCTTGGGGTTAAGCCTGCTGTATTTACTGACGTGTTTAATGAGGGCTGCAATTCTTCCAATGTAAAAGCATTTGTTATATTCTCAACCGGGATGTCTTGTAGGCATTTCAATGTTTCAGAAATATCTCCTTTATCTTTACAGTTGACTCTTTCCAGAAACTGATCGGCGCGTTCTTTTTCTAATTCTTTCTTTGTAATTATGCCAGGGTAAGTCGCAACACCACTCTGTGAAATAGCACGCTGGAACAAACCCTTGTTTGAAGGAATTAAAGTCAGAAGACTGACAGACATTCCACCAGCAGACTCTCCAAATATAGTGACGGAGTTTGGATTTCCTCCAAATGCTCCAATGTTATTTTGAACCCATCGGAGGGCTTCAATTTGGTCCCAAAGGCCATAATTTCCCGCCATTAGGGGGTCGTTCAGTGTAAGGAAACCTAGGAATCCCACTCTGTAATTGATTGTTACCACTATGACGTCACCACCTAAAACTAACTTTTGAGGATGGTACTGATTAGCTCCACCAAAAATGAATCCTCCCCCATGAATCCAAACCATCACGGAAAGATCCCTGTCTTTCGATACTTTGCCAGGAACGTATACATTCAGATGTAAACAATTCTCATCTTGTTGTAAATCGTCCATTCCAGGCATAGGAAATTGCCACTGTGAACATGATGGGCCGAGTTCATCTGATATTCCTTGAACGTCTTCCCATTCTTCTATAGGTTGGGGTTTCTGGAAGCGGAGTTTTCCAAGTGGGGGTTTTGCAAATGGAATTTTTATAAACCTGTAGACTTGGCCATTATCATAATTTTCTTCATAACCTCTGACCCATCCTGATGGGGTTTTAACCTCAACCGCATTTATAATCTCGGCTGCTAATGTTGTGGGAAGAGCAGCTAGTAGAATGAATGCACCCAAAGTCACAGTTTTCATTTTGGCTGAATAATCCTACAAAATAGAGTTGATAAAATAAATGATTTTTAATTTTTAATCCAATTTGAATTTTAAAACATTATAGAAAAAATGAAAATCGAAACTGTGACGTTTTCCAGGTGGAAATTTGTAGCTTTCATTTTGGGGTCCTAAATAGAAAGAAGACCTTTCTTAGACATAAGGTTATTGAAATATTTCTGTATTATTTTTCTCTAGGCATCATGTTGTCGGTTTAATATATGTTAAATAGAAAATAAAAAATGATTTTGTCATTATTTTCAAGATATATCTTATTTACACAAATTTCCTCTAAACAAATTTTTTGTATGTTTCTAATAGATGAAAAGGAATGACTAATATAAATAGAGTAAGTGAATACTTATGAATTGCTTGTTCATAATTATTAATGATTTAAATTAACCCGAACAACAAGCCTATGACAGTAATACGCTTAAATAGTTTGTCATGCTTATTCTTCACACTTGAAGATATAAAGATAAAGTATGTCTTTTGTAACTACCTCTTCTTGTGACATAACGCATTTTTAATATCTTTTAAAAACAATTGTTGAATTGAAATGTATAATTATGTTGTTTGTAAAAGCAAAAACTGCACGATTTTTTTTTTTTTACATCTAATAAGGGGATATTTTTTTCTCTCTATAGTAACTCCTATATGAGTGACGTTATTTTTTTCAGATGATTTTTTTAAAATTCAATTTATTTTATTTATAAAAATTTCCATTAGGTGAGATATTGCTAGGGGATTTACTGGTAGGTGTATTGATTTATTGATTGATTGATTGAATATTTATTGTTAAATGTCAAGTTTAGGAATTTTTCACTTTAATATAGATGACACCATACATGTATACCGGCGAAGGGCTACAAATTTTGATCTTTATTCGGCACTCAAGGTTACTGAGCTGCAAGTGATATTTATTATACCACTGTCTGCCTTTTTATGGGGCTTCAGTTTGTAGGTTTCTTCCAAAATACCCGCCAATTTCACTTCAGAGAGCGCTTGTCGAAATGAACAAATTTTATCGACTTAGGCGCAGCCGGGAATTGAATCCGATTACTAATTTAGCCGTGGTCCTATGGGAAACACAAGATATGTGATTTGATCAATTTACGATTAGGAAAAGTTTTTGCCAATAAAATTAGGTTGTTGTGTAGGAAATTATTCAGCATATAAATACAAGGGACCATTTTCTCACCAAGACACATAGGATAAAGATGCAACAATTTTTGATCAATGTCATTAAAACTGACCAGTTTTAGATACAACCATGTTTTATATCACGCCGCAGCATAATCTTATATAAACATTACTTATATACACGAATACTCGTACTTAATGGCGATATCAATACGTATGTTTACATGTATAATTTGGTAGACTTAGTTTTGATCTGTATAGCAGCTTAACCGTTACATCATTTACTTACTGTGTTATGCTGTACTTGGCCTGTTAACTCACTTTCTCTTTCACTATGCAAATATCGACTGTAATCAAAATAAATAAATCAAAGTTATGGAGGGCCTTATTTATCACACCAGACTAATGTTTGAATGTAGACAGTTCCTTTTTCGGTAATTTAAAAGGGAATTATTACCAATTTTTATGTTTTCACTCGTTTAGCCTCTATTCTAGTGTTTGTTTTGAATAACAGATAAAGTGCTGATAATATTGGATGTTGCTCAAAACTGCAATATTTATTGCTGCAAAAAGCTGAGAGAGATTTCTTACGGAAGCTTGTTTCATATTTGGATGTCAACTTTCCTTATGAGATTATTCGTTCTAATTTTATTTTATACTATTTCTTTAAATGACATCGTAGAAATAACTTTAAATACCATTGCTTCTTTTACAGATGAAAATAATTATTTGAAATGTTAAATTTCAAATGATTTTCTTTTATGTTAGTTGATTCCATAGATTCATGTACTTTTAGAAACAGAAAATGCATTTTACACGTGAAACATGAATAAAGATTAAACACACATCGCATTTTTAATGCACTTTTTATTTAATAAATGGATTTTAGGCATTATTAAACAAAATGTGACAAAAATTACCGGAGCAAAAGAGCAAACATAGACCTCCAAAACATCAGTGGTGTTTAATGGATAGGGTAATTCCAATTTTTATGTCGACACGATTGACCTGATAATCTTGGATTTAAAGATACCAGAGAGTTCTTTCATATTTGGATGTTTTACTTGGAAAAGACAATGGCTATCTAACAACAAAGCTTTATGATAAACAATATCTAAAACTAGGTAAGTTATTGACAAACAAGTTGATAAAGCAAGAATATCTTCAGTCTCGTTTAAAGTCATCATTTCATAAGTTCTATGATCTAGTCAGCAAATATAATCTTTCATTAAATGCTGACTGACTTTTTCCATACTGATTGTTAGGCCATTATTTGAATTGTCTACGTTTTTTTCCTTTTCTTATCCTGAACATTACAAGGGGCACACGTCGGATGTGACCAGTTGGCAAGGGATGTTCACTGCTCCATGGCACCTGATCCCACCTCTGATGCTTAGAAGGCCTTTGTCTGTTTTGCTCCTATTTTGTTAAGTTTAATGGACTTTTGAATTCGAATCCTGTTTGTTATCTCAATATTAAGTTTCATGTACACATGTTAATACTGCATACAGGGAAAATTTTGCCCCTGTTTTATTTTTGCCCCTTTCGCCCTACCCTCATTTGAGCGAATTTAAAACGGGGCGAATTCAAAGAATACAGTATAATTTCTTAAACAAAACTATTGCTTGGCGAATTTAAAATGGGGCAAAATTATTTGCAAGTTTGAAAGTGTGAAAATAACCCTGTATACAGTACTTCCTCTCGTAGTTCTTGCCATTTGTCAAAACTATTTAACAAGTATACAAATCTAAAAGAGAATATATATTGAATGACGTAATGTCAAAACATTTGACCCATGTTTGGAAAATGTCTTCGTTAGTTTGTTTTCATCACGTGAATTTCAAGTTTTCAGCTCACTTGGGATGAAAGCTCATGTGCTCTTTTCTGATCACCCGTTGTCCTTCGTACTTCCGTCTGTCCGTCTGTAAACTTTTCACATTTTCAACTTCTTCTCAAGATTCACTGGGTCACTTTTAACCAAAATTGGTACATAGCATTCCTTTGGTAAGGGAGAATTTTAATTGTTAAGATAAAGGATTAAGCTCCCTTCTAAGGGGAAATATTCAAGAAAAGAAATTAAAGAAATCTTCTCAGGAATCACTGAATCAGAAAAATTGAAACTTATTTGAAAGCATCCTTGGGTGGTGTATATTTTAAATTGTTTAAATTCTGATCCCCGGGGTAGGGTGATGCCACAAAAGTTAATCCAATTAGAAAATATCTTTAAAAATCTTCTCAAGAACCACTGGGACAGAAAAGCTGATATGAATTCTAAATTTTTTAAATAAATTATTGCCCCTGGGGGTAGGGTTTGGCAACAATAGGTACTACAAAGGGGGAAAATCTGGTGGAGAAGAGCATTGCAAAAGTTACTCAGGTGAGTGTTGAGGCCCATGGGCCTATTGTTAAGTAGAGAGATCGGTGGGATAAAATTGTTAGTAGTGTTCAGGAAAGAGATGGGCTCTCACCAACACACAATAAATTCTAAGTTTACCTGTTTTGAAAATTGTTCCTCACGAAATATGTTTAAATGTTATAACATGTCTTACCTCCTTGGGACTGCAAAGTCCTGTCTGTTATCACAATGTAAATCAACCCTTTTATTTAAAGGTGATAAAGTGTAATTGCATCAGATATCCTACTCAATAAGGAACAAAAATGCATGTACAATTTATAGAAAGAGAAAATGTGCTCATAGGTCATAGAAAATATTGCAAAGATGTCCTTTAGAATTATTTGTACAGATAACAACTTTATTACTGTAAATATTAGACTTGGGAATTTTTTGAAAAAGATGGACTTGACGAGGGGGTGCTTGGTTTATTTTTTTAAATTACAATGCACTGAATTTTTATGAGCTTGGGATATAGATAGTTTTAAATGTTTCAAATGGGATAAAATAGTCCGTTTGGGATATAATATCCCATATGGGCTGTAAATTTACAGTGCAAAAATTGAAAAATTTTATTTTGGCTATAAATATCATAAATCCGCATCAGGACACTTAAAAAGGAATAACTTTTAGTTGACAAGTTTTCCTTTATGCCCATTGTTTAGGAAATTGATCACTAAAAAATTCCTAAACTTCTGGGGATCAATCTGAAAACTGTAAAGCATGTGTAGGGTTTCAGAAAAAACATTCTTACCAAAAGTTATTCCTTTTTAACTGTTTTGATGCGGATTTATGATATTGATTGCCAAAATAAAAATTTTCAATTTTTGCACTTTATAGCCCATTTGATATATTATATCCCAAATGGACTATTATATCTCATTTGGGCGATTGGTCCCAACCTGTTTATTCACCTGTTCATTCGGTGCAGATTTATCTATAATACCCGAATAAAAGTCATGGCAGAGGTCCGTTTATCTTTTACTACACATCATTATCAATCTTTCAGAACCAATGACCCTAGTTTAACATAATTATATTATAGCAATTACCATCTTTTCAGCTGTCAAAATCATGCTGACATTCACGGGATATAAAACGAAAGTTGAATGGTAGTTGAATACCGATCCCGATCAGAATTAAGACGAAGAAAAACAGAAAAAAAAAATCGAGGCGGGAGTAAAAAATCGGGGCGGGCGGGGATGAGAATCTAGGAATATATTTATTATGGCCTTAGAATTATTTGTACAGATAACAACTTTATTACTGTAGATATTAGACTTGGGATTTAATACACCGGCAAGGTAAAGATGGAGTTGACGAGTGGGGTGACCTGGTTTATTGATTTTTAAAGTACAATGCACTGAACATGTACACCTTAAGAGCTTGGGATATAGATAATTTTAAATGTTACTTTTTATATATGTTTGGGCAAGGTACATGTATATTTCTTAATTATGAATGAAATTTATTGTCATGCCTTTTAGTTTTTATAAAACAAAAGAAAAATCCAAGAAAATAAATTCACGATTTTTAAAATGGAACATTGGGACCTTGTTAAATGGTCTGTGGACGGAGCAATCTTATTGAAAGTGTACCTAGTTTTTCTACAAACTTCTAAACCATTTTTTTCAATATCTAGTATATATAGTACAACCTTTGATCTAAAAAGTACAATTATATAATGCTGAATCTGTTTCATTTCCCTTTTTTTTGTTTTTGCTTGTCCGGTTGTTTTGAAGGTATAATTTTTTTTTTATAGATAATAATTTCAATTATGTTTATAATGCATTGTTATGTTATATTGCTTGAACCTTAGTTAATCCTGACAAGATTTTATTTTCAGTTGTAAATATTTCAGACAAGGCTGTTAGGAAAAATAAACACACAACAGTGACTTCTGTACAGCAAGTTGACATAGTAGAGTCTGGTTAATCTATGAGTGATCTAGTTTCTTCAGAACTCCCTGAACATTTGCAATCTCTGTTTGATAGGTCTTGTAAGAGGTTATTTGAAAAAGAGAAATCTCAGTTGTTAGAATTACTGATACAATATCAGGATATTTTTGTCGGACCTGATGGTAGGTTTTCTAGAACAAATCTTGTGAAACATCGTATAGATACTGGTGATTCTACATGTTCTAAGCCTATTAAAATTCCACCACGTAGACTACTTTATGCTCAAAGAGAAATTGTAGGGAAAGAGATTTCAAAGCTGCTCAATAATGAAGTTATAGAACCTAATGATAGTCCTTGGTTACCTCCCTTGCTGTTAATTGATACGAAAGGTGGTTCTTGGAGATTTTGTGTGGAGTATAAGCAACTTAACTCGGTTGTGAAGAAAAACACTTATTGCCTTGCATTGCCGGTCGACAGGGGGTGATCAATCCTCTATATTACCTGATTCTACCTCTGTTGATTTCGAGGTCCATTTGCTCTGATCCAATTTTGTATTGTTTTATGGACATTTGAGCCTGAATACCGTTCGTCATATCCACATATTTCATTGATGAGTCACTTGATTCTTTAACTGGAGCTTCCTGGTTCAGTACACTAGATTTAGTTTCTGGGTATTGACAGATAGAAATGTCAGATAATAAAAAATCTAAAACAGCTTTCTCAAATAATTTGGGCTTGTTTCAGTTTAAAGTAATGCCCTCTGGCATGAGTAATGCCCCAAGGTGTTATGAGAGGTTAATTGAGTTAGTTCTTAGAAGTGTCGGATGGGAGAAATGGTAATGTTATTTAGATAACATTATTGTGTTTGGAAGTAGTTTTGACCAAGCTTTGAAAAAAAACTTGACCTAGTGTCTGATAGACTTAGGTCAGCAAATATGACCTTGAAACTCTTAATTGTGTACTATTTGAGAGAGAAGTGCCGTGTGGTGTCTGATAAAGGAATTTAGTGTGATCCCAGTAAAATCGAAAAAGTTAAAAAATGGCCTGTTCCTAGTAATGTCACGGAGTCAGAAGTTTCCTAAGTTTTAGTAGGATATTAAAGATGGTTTACTCTCGAGTTTTTTTCCCACCTTTGTGATATTTGACAAGAAAAGAGAAGAAATTTTGTTGGACTTCTGATTGTCAGATATCATTTGAGAAACTTTAGGAACTCCTTTGTTCAGCTCTTGTGTTAGCCTATCCTGATAATACCTCAGAGTTCATCTTAGACACAGATGCAAATTTGACAAGATTACATGTAGGTGCTGTTTTCTCTCAAGTACAAAATGGTGAGCAGGTCATCGCTCATGCTAGTAGGACTTTGAATGAATTCCAAGTCAGATACTGCACCACTTATGAGGAGATATTGGCAGTAGTTACTTTCTTTGGCCTGTATAGACATTTCCTTTGGGGTAGACATTTCACGGTTAGGACGGATCATGCTTCAGTTGTGTGGTTGAAGAGCTTAAAGAATCCAGATTATTGTCCTTCGCTTAGGTTGCTCCAGTGAGAACCGACCAATGGTTCAACTTGGCGGAGTCAGGGTCCCACAATTCTGATGATGATAATTGTGATGATAGTTATGATGTTGTACGTAACTGGTTGGATACTTGGTCAGTTGATAAACTCGGCAACAAGAAGAACCTACAAAACGGCAAATAATTAGATTAAAGTAAAGTTGCAATGTTAAACCTCCTAGGCATGTTGTTTTGGATGCTTTTTCTGACTTGAAAACATACTGGAGATTACGGGAATCTCTTGAAGTCAAAGAAAACTTGTTGTATTACAAGTTGTAGTCATTAGCTGAGAAGAAGTATTTATTGTTAATTGTTCCTAGAGATATTAGATCTACGATATATTTGATGAACTTTATGAGAATAAAACTGCTGGTCACTTGGGTAGAGACGTACCATTAAGTCTATTAAGCGCAGGGTATATTGGCCTGGTATGTCTTCAGACATTTAACGTTGGTGTAGAGAGTGTGATGTTTGTGCCAGAGCAAAAGCTGGTCCAGATCTTGGGAAGGCATCTCTTCACCAATCAGTTGTAGGTGCTCCTTTAGATAGGTTTCATGTATATCTCTAAACGAACAATTCAAAAGTGAAGAAAATTATTATTACAATGTTTAAGAATTAGTTTGGAATGACTTAGGCATCTGGTATGAATATTTTTTATTGTGGTTTTGAATGAAAAGCTCGTGATTATCTGTTTGATTTTTTTTATTTGTCAAACACTTGTTTATTTTTGCCAGGTTTTACCCGGGTCTCATCACGTGGGTCGGATAGATCATGTACCTGTGGCGGGACAAACAGCGGCTGATCCCGACAGAGTAGAACACCTGAGGAAGAAGTTCCCACTGCAATACATAGAACTGGAGCCTGGTAGATCATTATATGTGATTAGAGAGCAAAAACGGAATACAAATAAATATATCGGTTATCATTCTTACCTATAATTCCTCGGATAACATGTATTGCACAATTAACCAAAATTGTTTACAATAGAATAAAAAATGAATTTTAAGAAGATATCTTATTTCAAGAAAAAATATACTTCAAATTTAAAATAAGATTGAAATGAATTTATAGTCATTTCGTACACGAGGTTCCTACTAATAGTACAACAATAAATTACCTGTAGGCGACGCTTTCTTCATGCACAGTAACGTCCTCCACAAGAGTGATCACAACAACAGTCCCAGCAGACGATGGCTGTTTATCATGGCCTACAACAAAGCTACCAACAACCCGCTGGAAAACTTGACGGGACCATTTCCAAGATACACTCCACTATCCAAGGTTTTCAATAATTATTTATTTTTTAAACTTTCACAAAAAGGATAGAAATTAACATTAAATGTTCCATTTTTTTAGTATTCAAACCCAATTTCGAGGTTCACCATCATTTTCACAATTGACGTTTGAATTGACAAATGACTAAGATGAGATAATTACTTTTCAGGTTCCTAATTCTGCTTTACTGGATTGCCAAAACCTATCGGATTTTTCTGGAAAAGACTTTCTTGACCCCACAAAGGACAAGAATGTGAAGGCAGATAGAAATAATTAAAGATTGTGAATAACCGGTACTGTTATCCGGAAATCTGTACGTCGACTGGTTCAGACTTCAAACACAGAAACTTTTATCAAACAGAAATGATGGGCCTGAGTTGTTTTGGTAATGACTACTCATCTGTCATTGTCGATCGCCTGAATTCATTATCATATTTGAATACAGGTTCAAATCAAATAAAGCATTAATATGATAAATAAATGTAAATAAAACTAGACACTACAATCAATGTTCACATTAAAAACTTTTTTAATAAATTTAAAAAAGAAGGAAAGTTTTAGCGTGTTGTTATACAATGAAGTTAGCATGCAGAGATTGTTATGTATACGGGTTTTGACAAATTTGAACAGGTGTATCAGACAGTAATGTCATGACTAAGGCAAGTAAGGAAGGCCATGTAAGTTCTTACTGGGTCATGAACACAGTGTGGAATAAGATAATGCAAATGTGCAATAAGGTTTAAGAATTTTTCTTTTTCACCTGTGGGGTCAAATCGCGTCATAAAATATTTCAAATTTGTTTTTTTCTTTTTTCTTTTCTTCCTTTTTTAAAACAGAACAAACAATTTTTTTATCCTCTCTTTAAAAATCAGAATAACTTTATCAAGATCTTTATTTAGACCGATGTCAATGAATGTGTCACAACAATTCCACTCTGCATTCGATACGCAAGAGCATGGTCTACGTATGAACGATTTCTAAAACGAGATAAATTATTGAAAAGAAGAAAACACTTGGTGTGGCCTTCAACTCGACATTTAGATATATCGACGACGCATTGTTAATTAACAAACAAGATAAATTATTGACAAACAAGTTGATGAAACAAGAATATCAGCAGTCTCATTTAAAGTAATCATTAAGTAAGTTCTATGGTCGATACAATGACCTTGTCAGCAAATACAATTTATCATTGAGTCAAATGCTGACAGACGTGTTTTATACTTTTTGTAAGTCCATTATTCATACACAGAATTGACGACGGATTTTTCCGGTATTTCTCGATCATGATAAGGAGCATACGGCGGTTGTGACCGGTCTGCAGGGGATGCTCACTCCACCATGGCACCCGATCTGATGTTTTGAAGGTCCGTGTTTGCTCTACTTCTACTTTTTATTGTTTTCTGGACTTCTAATCTTGAAAACTGTTCGTTATCTCCATATGTTTTATCATAAATAATCTAACTTTTATATTTATTTCCAATCAAAGAGATAAGATAATTTTCCTCCAACTGTGTCCTTTTTATTTTGTTTTACTTTGAAAAAAATACTCTATTTTTGAAAAGAATATGAAGAAATATATGGAGATAGGGAGCAGTATGTAAGCTAAAAAGTCTATTAAATAACAAGTCAGGAACAGAGCAAACAGGGACTTCTCAAGCATCAGAGGTCGGATCAGGTGCCATGGAGTAAACATATCCTGTCAACCCGTCACTTAATATCATGATCGAGAAAATGAACAAAACAGCGCAGCCTTATTACATGTATTTGCATGAAAAACATTGTGTCAACATTCGGTGTGATTAGATTGTATTTGCTGACAATGTCGTTGTATTGACCATAGTATTTGCGAAATGTTTGACTTTACAGGAGATTGTTGGTATCCTTGTTTCAACAACTATAATTTGTTCTATAAGTTTGTCGACTGTTGGACACAAAGCAGTAGGCTCTTGCGTATTCCAGATCAACTGGTAGGCTGAAACTCCAGCATATCGGATGATAGTGTTTAACTGCTACAGAACAAAGAGAAGTTGATGATAGAAAATTCGAAGTCATCTATAAAAAAAGTTTGAAAGTTTTAAAAATGTATCTCAAGTATTGCTTTATTTAGAATCATAGGCACATAAAAGGTACCATGTTGTATAACATTTGAAAACATTATTTTTCAACTTGTTTTACAATATGAAAAGAAGAAAAGAACAACTTATCACTCAACAAGTACATGTTACAAGTAAAAAGTTCCCAATTCTAAAATGTACCCTTGGCTTTGCCAATCTCTGAATATTCCAAATATGTACAATGTGTGTCGGGTTGTAATGGTCATCTTTAGAGGCAGGCTAGGTAAGATCGCTTTGTAGAGAAGACTTCTCATCTGTAACAGAATTTAAATATCTCGTACGATTTTTCATTTGCATTGTATAATTTCTTGTTTGTATTTTATGATCATTTTTAATTTGTATTGTATAATTTTTTCCTTTGTCTTGTATTATTTTGTCTTTGTATTGTGCATGTATTGTTCATGTGAATTTGATAATTTTCATTTGTATTTCATCCGAGGACTTTCACGTTTATTTGTTTCTTTACAAAGGATCTCATTTGAATACAAAAGAAAAATTATCGAACAAAAATGATATATATGTTAAGCACATTTTACAACAACTCTTAAACTAATATAACTGCCCTAAGTGAAGAAATATTGATATAGAAAGCACAAAGAAATTCACTTTTACGTGGATACCCACTTCCGCCCCAGCCCGGAGTTGAACTCTCGACCTTCGGAATCTGTCTCCTAGCAGTGCAGGAACAGCGCGCTAGACCGCTCGGCTATCTAGGCAAGTCAAAAAACTTGCTTTCGATGCCGATGGAATTCTCGCTGCGCTGTCCTACACTACACGGTCATTGAGAATAGAAGTGAGATACAGTTATTGTCTGACGTCTTGGCGTCAGACAGTACTAGATTTAACCAGGGCTTATTTATGCAGTCGTTCCATGAATTGTTTAGATAGCTCGATGGTGGAAATTTCGATACATGCATAATTTCCGAAGACGCATGCCGTTCGGCCAAGGAGGAAATGCGCTTTTAATCTTTTATTTACTTAACTGGGCACGTGGTCAAATTTATTCTCTTAGTTGCCTTGCTCCCACTATAGTAAAAATAAAACTCCAATCCAGCGATTACATTTTGGACGATTACAGGTAAATTAGTTTGCGTCTTCTTGTTTTGTTTCTTTTCCTACAGACTTCAGAAATACATCCATCAATTAACAGCAGGGGAATGGTCATCATACTTCTAAGATTGTTATCGCTGTTTATACGCGCCGGCCATTAAGTGATCTGACAAACAAAGATCTTCCCACTGATATCATTATTAAGGTCTTCCGCTCAGGCGGAAGACCTTTTACTGATTCTGATGGTTAAGATTATTCTTATTATTCTTTTTTTTTTCTTTTTCCTAGACGCCAACTTTGAGGCCTCATATTTCACTCATTTCTTGATGGATTTTGCTCAAATTTTCAGAGTTGATGGATGTTACTAAACTCTATCAGAATGTTATCTAAAATTTAAAAAGTCACTTCCGGTTTTGAGTTATTTCCCTTTAAACGAAAATTTATAGGCTTTCGTTTCCAGACAAAGGCTCAGAGACGGCTAAAGCTGGAGCAAAAATTCTACTGATTTTAGATAATAGAAGGATTGAAGTTGTGCATAGTGGTTTTTGTTTTTCGATTTCTCGATTCAAGATGGTGTTATATAGGGGTCAAAAATAGGAATGCCTAAAAGAGCGAAAATTTACACATTTTTTGCTTTTTATCTTCTAAACTAAAAATATTTTGTTAAAACATATAGAACAAAATTTGTGCAAAATTACAAGATCTTTTGAAAGATATCTCGAAAAAAGGGCTGACCCCTAAATTAAGGGATCTAGAGGGGCCAAAAGTTTTTTCCAGGTATCTCAAAAAGTATTGAGAATTTGTTATACATCCAAGAAGCAATGTTGTTTAAAATGTCAAGCTTAATCTAATGAAGTCGTCAAAATGCGTCCGGCGACGTCACTTCCGGTCAAACCGGAAGTAGTCAGAAAATGCATATTTTTGCTGTTCTTGACAAGTTTTGGGGTAACATATATCACAAGAAGCACAAAACTTAATTTTCTGTCCAGCGACATAACTTCCGGTCAAACCGGAAGTAGCCAAAAATAGCTTATTATTTAAGGTTTTGATGCAGAATTGAAATTATAAAGTGACTGGAGACGACAAAGCTCATTGCTTTCTTTTTGCTGACGTCACTTCCGGTCAAAACAGGACGGAAGACCTTCTCGTTGCTTTGCAACGAGCTTTGCTCTAGTTTACAAACTTCATTTTATTTTGTTTGTTGAATAAAGAAAACAGTAAGGTCATTTACCATACAAAACATTACCTGAACAATGCAAGAGCCTAAATTTAATGCTCTATTTGTGTAAGTTAGTGTGTTATATATATACTGTACGTATGTAAAATCATAAATGTTAGTGGCTTTGCCTCACCACAATTTTACCTCGGTTACATCTATAATTATAACATAAACAGGTTATAACATAAATCGATTTAATCATGTACAAGTATGAGATATTATATATTCAGATTTTTTTATTTCACGAACGAAAAAGTGGTAAAGTTTTTTTTTCTTGAAATATTATATAAAAATTGTTGTTTTCGTGTTTTTATGCCAAGAAATCACGTCAAATTTTCCAAACAATGGAGTCAATAAAAGTGTAATTGATGCATTCACACATATTTCCCTGGCAAGACAATTACGGCAACAGATTTCAAGGGGTGGATCCTAGGTTTTCAGCTTTCTTAGTTAAAGAAAAATAAACTTGATACATTCCACCTTTTATTTCTATCATTGATATTTTCACTTTTAAATGAAAATATTTACATAGCCAATGTTTTGATATAGAAATACGTCAAAATTTTAAAGGCAGCTTATTTTTAATGAGGAATTAGTTTATTATAATTAATCTAACTTTCTTTTTCCTTTATTTTACTCTTTTAACAGTATTTGATTTAGATGCCCCATCCCCACCCCCAAAAAAGGGTGTGTATGCAAGGGTTCTAAATAAAAAGTATTCTACCTATGTTTTAACAGGCACGTAGCATTGTTTTTAAAGTGGGGGAGGGGGCATCCAGAGAAAAAAATTACTTACCTGTAAAAGCTGACAAGCATTCAAAAGAGAGAGAGAGAGGCTTTGTAGAAGCGTGGGGGGAGGAGGGTTAGTGGTCAACTTTTTGCAAGGCCAACTTCCTTTCACTTCAATTTTTTTTTTTTTTTTTTTTTTTTTTTTTGCATACAATACTACATTTCCTTGATATCACTTTACTCTTTACTGAGGATAGAAATTGGGGGGGGGGGGGGGGGGGGAGAACCAACTTTTCAATGGATATTTTCTATAGTAAAGGTAATGTTGTTGAAAAAGGGATCAGAACCTCCCCCCCCCCCCCCCCCTGTTACTACGTGCTTGTTTAAACCCAGTAAATCTTAAAATTAAGACCCCTCCCTCAAAACTGCTGACATTAATTGCCTCACGCGTACATCTCCCTGGGGAATAATCACCGATTAATGTTAATTCGGCATTTATTGAGTTCGCTCTCTGGATAGAATGTGTAAGTTTTCTTGAGATTACTATTTTACTGTGTAAACGATCCATAAATTTTAATGACAATGGTATAGACCAGTTGTTATATCAT